AGGAAAAGTTCTAGAAGGAAATTAAAAGTGCTACTTCAGTGAACACATGAACGGTGATCAAGCAAAGCAGGCTTGTTGCTAATATGGGGGGGAAATTTAGTGTTCTGAATAGAAGACCAATTAGCCAGAACACTGGCTCAAGCCAAAGCCTGATCCAAACAAGGCCCCAACTCACTTCAGTTCTGTGAAGGCTGAGACATGAGGAAGCTGCAGAGGAAAAGTCTGAAGTGGGCAGAGGTGAGTTCATGCGGTTTAAGGAAAGAAGCCATCTCCATAACCCCAAAGTGCAAGGGGAAGCCACAAGTGCTGATGTAGAGCTTATCCAGGAGAGCCAGCTGAGGTCATTAGGGAAGGCGGCTGCACCGAACAACAGATTTTCAGTGTAAGTGAAACAGCCTGATGCTGGGGAAACATGCCACCTAAGACTTTCATAGATAGAGAGGAGAAGTCAGCGTCTGGCCTGGAAGCTTCCAAGGACAGGCTGACTCTCTCATTAGGAGCTAATGCAGCTGGTGACTTTAAGTTGAAGCCAATGCTCATTTACCATGTGCACATCCTAGGACCCTTAGGATCACGCTAAATCTAATATGCCAGTGCATTCAACAAAGCCTGGATGATGCCACGTCTGTTTACAACATGATTTACTAAACATTTTAAGCCCACTGTTGAGAACTGCTACTTGGGAAAAAAGATTCCTTTCAAGATATTACCAGGTGCACCAAGAGCTCTGGTAGAGATGCACAAAGAGATTCATGCTGTTTTCATACCTGCCAGTGCCTCCATTCTGCAGCCCATGGATTAAGAAACAATTTCAACTCTATGTCCTATTATTTAAGAAATATATTTCGTAAAACTATCGTCACCATAGATAGTCTACTGATGGATCTGGGGAAAGTAAGTTGAATCCTTTCTGGAAAGGATTCACCATTCTAAATGCCATTATGAATATTTATGATTCATAGGAAGAGGTCAACATAGCAACACTAACAGGAGTTTGGAAGAAGTTGATTCCAGCCCTCATGGATGACTTTGTGTAGTTTACGAAGGACTTCAGTGGAGGAAGTCACTGCAGACGTGGTGGAAACAGCATGAGAACTAGAACTAGAAGTGGAGCCCAAAGATGCAACTGAATTGCAGCAACCTCGTGACAAAATTTTAACAGATGAAGAAGAGTTGCTTCTTATGGGTGAGCAAAGAAGGTGGTTTCTTGAGACAGAATCTACCCCTGTGAAGATGCTGTGAAGATTGTTGAGATGACAACAGAGGCTTTAGAATATTACATAAACTTAGTTGATAAAGCTGTGGGAGGTTTTGAGAAGATGGACTCCAATTTTGGACAAAAAGCTGTACTGAGGGTAAAATACTATCAAAAATCACTGTATGCTACAAAAAATACTTTATGAAAGAAGAGTAAATACAGCAAATCGTGGCTGTCTTATTTTGAGAAATTGCCACAGCCACTCCAAACTTCAACCACCACCCCAGTCAGTCAACAGACATCAACACTTGGCAAGTCTCTCCAGAAGCAAAAAGGTGCCCACTCACTTAAGGCTCGGATGACCATTAGCATTTTCTAGAAATAAAGTATTTTAATTAATGTATGGACGTTGTTTTTCTTTAGGCATAATGCTATTGCACACTCAACAGACTACAGTGCAGTGTAATCATAGCTTTCACATGCACTGGTAAACCAAAAAATCCACGTGATCTGCTTTATTGTGATAGTCACTTTATTGCAGTGGTTTGGAACCAAACCTGCAATATCTCCAAGGTATGCCTGTATGTAGTTATAAAAGATAATATAATTACATATATTTTCTCCTTTCTTCTCTTAACCAATTTAAAATGCAATTATATAAAATAGTATGTGTATAATTAATTGGGGGGCCTATAACAGAATATATTTGACAATAACAACACAAAAGAGATGAGTGGTAGTAAAGCTATACTGGAGTAAAAAAACAGCAGATGGTAACTTGAATCTGCAGTAATAAATTGAGAATGAGAAATGGTAAATAAGAAGATTAATATAACAAACATCAAAAATACTTGCACTCCTTTCTTCTACAAGCTTCTTTAAAAGATATTTAACTACATAAAATAACTTTATTAATGTATTGTTGGGTTTGTAACATATTTAGCTAATAACAGCACAAAAGGGAGTTATATGGGAGTAACACCTGAATATTTCAATGAATTTTTAATATAAATCTGAAGTACATTTTCAGTTAAGGTGTATACTGTGAGCCCTAGATCAGTTACTAAGAAAACAATTTAGGAATATAGCCACTTATATTTAAAAAGAAGAAAAATCTCAATCTGACAACCCAACTTTCCACCGTACATGCTAAGTCATTTCAGTCATGTCCGACTCTTCGTGACCGTGTGTGCAAAACTGTATGCCAGTATATTAGATAACCAAGATCTAAAAAGAAGTATTAGAACTAATGAACAAGTTCAGCAAAGTTGCGGGATATGCAATCAATACACAAAAATCTATTGTATTTCTATATAGAACAATCTGAAAATGAGATTGAGAGCAATTTCATTTAAAATCACGTTAAATGAATAAAATGCTTAGGAAAAAACTTAAGATAAGACATACAAACCATGTACCCCCAAAACTAAAAAATATTGTTAAAAGAAATAAAAAACTGAAATAAATGGAATGTCACCTATGATCGTGTATTGAAAGACTGAATTTTGTTAAGATGACAATACTCCCCATGATGATTCACAGATTCAGCACAATTCCCAAAAAGATTCCAGCTGCTACTTTTACACACTGATCCTAAGCGTCACATGAAAATGAAAGGGACCCATTATAGTCTAAACAATCTTGAAAAAGAACAAAGCCAGAAAACACACTTCCTGACTAAAAACTTATTATAAAACTATGTAACCAAGAGAGTGTGGTAATGCCATAGGACAGACATATAGATCAGTGAAATTGAACTGATTATTCAGAAATACACCCTTACCTCTGTGATCAATTGATTTTCAACAAGGATTTCAGGATAATTCAATGGAAAAAGAATGGTCCTTTCAACAAATTGTGCTGGGGCCACTGAATAGCCACATGCAAACGATTGAACCTGGACCCCAACCTCACACCACAGACAGATAGTAACTCACAATGAATCATTAACATAGCTGCAAAACTAACACAATAAAAGTCTTAGAAGAAAATATTGGAGTAAATCTTCATGACCTTAAACTGGGACACGTGTTCTTAGATGTGACACCAAAAACAGAAGCAACAAAGGGGAAAGTAGACAATTTGGATTTCATTAAAATGTTTCAAAGGACAGCACCAAGAAAGTGAAAAAGACAATCACAGAATTACAGCAAATATTTGCAGGCTGAGTAACCGACAAGAGACTGACACCCAGAATCTCTTACGATATGGTGGTAGAAGGACAACCCACTGAAAATGAGTGGAGAATCCGCAGAACAGACGTTTCTGCAGAGAAGATATTAGAATGGCCAATAAGCACGTGCAAAGGTTGTGCTTACTGCACTTTCAACATCCCTGCTAGCCGCCAGGGACATGCTCATGACGTCCAGAGGGGTCTGACTTCACAGCCACGGGAACGACCGCCGTCATGGAGGCGGACGACAGTGAGTGCTGACATTGGCGAGGATGGGAGAGCTTACAGCCCTCACGCACGCTGGGCGAAGGAAAGCATGCAGCCGCTTCGGAAAGCAGTTCAGCAGCACCTCAACGTGAAGCAGAGCGACCCTATGACCTTGCAATTCCCCTCCTCAGTGTATAACCGAGATACGTGAAAACATGGCCACACAAGCCCTTGTACGTGAATGCTCATCGCGGCTTTATTGATCATTGCCAGAAAATGGGGGAAAGCTCAATGTCTGTCAACTGGCAAAGGAATAAACAAAATGTGACCTATTTATACAATGAGGCATCATCAGTTATAAGAAGGAATGAACAGCAGCTTGGTGAACCCGGAAAACACGATGTTAAGTGAAAGAAGCCAGCCACAGAAGACCACCTTTGATAACGTTCTATTTATATGAAAAATCCAAAGTAGGGAAATCCATACAGACAGTGCACCTATGGTTGCCTACGGCCAGGAGGGTGGGAGGACAGGAGAAGTGTCCACCCGTGGAGATGGACCACCTTCTGGGGGTGATGGAGTTAACCATGATGGTGGCTGCACATCTCTGCGAATATACCAAAAACATGGCCTCGTTCCATTTACAGCGGCACATTGTATAGTATGTAAATAATATCCTATGAAAGCTGCTCTTCTGTTAAAAAGCTACATACAGAAGCGAATGTGAGAATCCAGCAACCTTGTTTCAAGCCAGACATTTGCAGAAACATAAATCAACACCAGCCTTCTCATTAAAACCTTTGCATTTTGGAAAATGTAGTTATTTCTATCACAGTATGTTTCTATATACTGGGTTTCTTATTGCTACTTATAAATGAATTAATAAATTCTCTAAAATTCATTCATAAATAATAAATTCATTTTTATTTTCATTTCCTCTGTAAGAGCACAAACTCTTTGGGGTCCTCGATAATATTTTAGCATGTAAAGGAGTCCTATTGGAAGATGTTTGAGAATTGAGTGTGTACTCAGTCTCTCAGTCGTGTCAGACTCTTTGCAACTCCATGGACCGTAGCCCGCCAGGCTCCTCTGTCCACAGGATTCTCCAGGCGAGGATACTGGAGTGGGCTGCCATTCCCTTCTCCAGGGGGTCTTCCCGACCCAGGGATTGAGCCCACGTCTCCTGTATCTCCTGAACTGCAGAGCTAGAGGTGAAGCCAGCAAAACCGGGGCATCAGAGAGTGAGGCGGGAGCGAGAAGGCCGAGGGGGCTGGTCAGCTGTGCCCCGCACCCCTGGAGGGTGAGGAACAGAGAGCTGGCACGCGGGCAAGACGGAGGCGCTGAAGGGGGCTGGTCGTCCCAGGGGCACGCGAGACCCACCCCGTCTCGTGCAGAGGGGAGACGGGGCAGTAGGCAGAAGGGTCAGTGCGGGTGGAGCGGGGGCAGGACCCCGAGGAACGGGGGGACCGGGTCTGCGGAGCAGCACGGGGGCCCTGGGAGGCTGACCTTCCCCAGCTCCGTGGGCACTGGGCTGCGGGAGCTGACCTGTCCCAGCTGTGGGCCGCTTTTCATCACAGGCACCCAGGGCTGGGCGCCGAGCAGTGGAACGTTCTGGCTGTGGAGGCTGCTCCCCAAACACAAGCCACGGGTGTGACATTCTTGAGACCGCCATGGGGGACCCGGGTGACAGGGTGATACTTCACTCAGAGCATGTGTAACGGGCCCCGAGAGGAAGGCAGAGACACTTCCCCAGGGATGCAGGATGCTCGTGGCCACAGCGGGGGGCCCGGCCGCCCCTGGAGCACCTGCAGGTCCCCCCATCCCTCACCATGGCAGAAGAGTTTCCTACTGGAGCCTCAGTGTACTTGGGCGTCACCCGGGGCAGCAGACCCCGCTTCCCAGAGTCAGACCGGGCCCCGCAGAGTCGTGCGGAGAACAGACACAGCTACAGCGAGCCTCATCCCGTCTCCTCCCTGAGCTGACCCCGGCCCCCGACCACCTTCCTCCCACCCTGACTGTCGTCTCTGGAAGCAGCACCTGCTAAGTGTGGGGACCGTCCCTGACTTGGGGAGAAGGGACCCAAGACCCAGGGCAGGCATCCCCCCCACCTTTGGGGAAGTCACTTGCCCCCCCAGCCCTGGGAGGATGGGCTTGCTGGGGCTGTGGGCCCAGCGGGGCCTCAGGACCCCGGGAAGCATCACGACCGCACCAGTGCAGGCTTCCCCTGCGGGCACGCACACTCGGGGCCCCGACTCCCCGACGCTGCCGGGCATCCACTGGGGCAGCTGCGTGGGGCATTCGCCAGGCCCAGGGGGCAGCGCAGTCCCGCCCAGAGCCCGAGGGCAGCACACGTAGTGTTTGGCCTGCTGTAGCTCCGGGCACATGCTCTGTACTGCTTCTTGCCTTGAAGCATTCAAAAATAACGTTTGCGTCTCATTTCAAGAAGAAAGCTACTGTGTAAATTGAGGGCAGCCAGCCGCAGGGAGGAGACCCAGCTACTCAGCCAGCCCCACCTGAGGCCATGGGTGTTGGAGGGAGGGGGTGCACACTGCATCTCCCTGGGCCTCAGGAAACGACTTCTCCGGCCCCTTGAGGCAAGGGGCCCTGCTGCAGACATGTGTTACAGAGGGGCCATCCTGCAGGCCCTGAGGCAGGCAGTTGATAAAGAGAGGCGCCCGGGCTCAGCGTCACCCACAAGTCACCGTGCTGAGCTCGCAGCAGAAAGGCACACTCGGTCCATGCCAGCACCGCCGTCTGCCTAGATCACAGACTCGCCCCCAGCCTCGCTCGCCTCTCCCCAGCCTGGGAGCCGCTCAGTCCCCGCTTCAGCAGCACCAGCTGTGAGCTGCAGACCAAGTCCGCACTTACCTCTCTCTTCACGCTATTGCACTGACAACTGGCTGCATCACATTCTGCCAAAATTACTATAAGAAGACCCTAAAACTGAAAAGTACAAGCAGACACCCTGACTTCTGGTTCCATAGCAAGTTCTCCCTTGGAACAAAAAGTACCGTTCAGAGGGACATTTTTGTTGGGGGGATCTTCTTCCAGAGGAGCATGACGATGGATGCCTCGGACGGTGCCTGGCATAGTCCGAGCCCTGGACCATAGTCAGGGCCCTGCGGCTCGTCTCTGAGCTCGAAGGCTTCACTCAGGACGGCGCTGGGGGAGCCATTCACGGGTGGCGTGTGCCCCACTTCCCTCCCCCAGCCCCGATCTCCAACCAGGACCAGCTGAGTCTGGGCAGCCGGAGGAGACCTCCCCAGGGGGCCTCTCCAGGCAGCCTGTGTACCCCCACGGGGCTGAGGCCGGAAGGGCTGGCTTGCTGATCGTGCCCTGTGTGTGTGCACGTGGGTCCTCAGGATTTGGCACCGGCTGTGCCTCTTATAAACCTACATGACACATTTGGGTTCAAATGGACCATAAAACTGTCCCTACCTTGGCAGGAGTTGTTTTTGCTTTAGGAAGAAAGAGGAAATAATCCTACTTAGGAAGGCAAAGTTGAAGGGGTGGTGCTTTTTGATAAGAGCACCTATAAAATGAGTAAGAACACGTTTTCTCAGTGCAGGGATCTACCAGGAGGTCAGAAGAGGGGCTCCGCTGGGCGGGAGGGGCTGTTCCGCCTCCGGAAGCAAAGCGGGGCGGGAGGGAGGGGAAGGGCCACCCTCCCCTGGGGCAGCGACAGCGGCTGGCTGCCGTGCTGAGGGCAGGTCACCAGCGAGCTGATTCAGCGCTGACGGGGAGCCTGCAGAGCACGCATCCTCATCAACCCATTTCCCAGAGGAGGGAGTCAAGTCTGGGCACGTGTTGCTCACGGGGCTAAGGTTACACCACTAGGAAGCAGCAAAGCGGATGCTCAAACCCAGGCCTTCAGACCCCAAAGAACCTCGGTGTCGCGTGGCTTAGCCAGAGCTCGTCACCCACTTGGGGATTCAGGTGGGACCTTCTGCTCCTTAAAAGTGTGTGCGTGTGGCTCACCCAGAGCCCTGGCACGAATGTTCAGGAGAGGCCCGTCCGCAGCGGCCCAGATGGGAACCGGCCACCGCGTCCTTCCCCGGCCGACGGGTGACCAGAGCCGCTGGACGGGAGGTGGGAGGGGCCAGTGATACATGAGACCACCTCGGGGGCGAAACCTGACCCCACAGGTGCTGTGGGGGCTCTTCCTGCCCTCAGGACGAGGGAGCAGAGACAGGGGAACAGCGGTGAGGCGAGGACAGGGCGGGGGAGGACCCGGACGGGTCCCGGCATTCGGCCGCCTTGGCCGTGCGGTGGCCACAGACTCCACCCCCGTGAAGAGGCTGCACGGGACCACACACACGCGTGTGCACACGCATGTACCAGGGGAACACGCAGGGCAGGTGAGACCTGGTGTCAGCTCTCTGCTGCCACGCTGAGCTTCGTCTTCCCTGGCGGGGGCCTGGCGCAAGAGTGTGGAGTCTGATGGCGCTTGTCTTCACTTACAGCTTCACTTACCAGCATCTCAGAAAGCTCCCAAGCGCCCGAAGGGCCCGGCGCCCTCACCCGAGGCATGCAGCCGTGGTGGGGGGTTTACACCACTCAGGGCAGACCACCAACCCATTCAATCATCACTTGCCCAGAAGGACTTGGGTGAAGTATTCTGCCTGGGGACTCAGGAAGCTGCACTCCCCGTTGAAGTGGCAGCATCCTCTGTTTTCTGAATCTTGAGCCGGCTTTCTCCCCCTTGTATTCTCCTTTTGCATTGAAAATTCGTACTGAAAAGAAACAAGAGTGGTTTAAAGGATAAAAGGAGCAGCTATTACTCCAGCCTGAACGTGGCCATTGGAATGAGACAAAGTGAGGGTTCTGGAAGGCGGAGCGTCTCCCGGGGGAGGGGGTCGGGGACCCTCAGCTCCGCATCACCAGCCCTCACACGGCTCGCGAAGCAGAGACGGAATCAGGCCCTTCACAAGTCGGGCAGACAAGGCGAGCATGGTGATGGACGTGGAAATCAGAGCCGCGGGTCCAAGCCAGGGACAGGCCAGCATCAGTGGGCCGCGTGGGGCATCTGAGGCCAGGCCCCGGCCTGCTGCAGGACACCCCAAACCCTGGACAGCGGGCCACCATCCACCTAGCCTGCCCACCATGGCCCGTTCCTCCCAGCCAGGGCTGATCCCTACTACAAGAAGGCAACAGGGAGGTTCCAGAACCGAGGGCTCCAAGGAGCGGACAGGTGGGACGTGGACACGTGCTCGGGGGGTGGGGGGCCTGTGGGCAGCAGGCTGACCCCCTGGGGCTCCCTTGGCCCTCCTGTGGGCCCAGGTAGGCCTGGGTAAGGTGGCGGGGCCGCCTGGGGGACTCCAGGAAGGCAGCAGCGCTGAGGGGCCGCCCCAGCGATGGTGCGTGCCCCCAGCACCTGCCTGGCAGGTTCCTGCAGCCGGCACGCGGCCTGCAGCCCACACGCCCACACCCCATCGGGTGCAGGTTCAGACCTGACCCCGCTTCCTCCTTCGACTCCCAGACTCGGCTGCCCGCCCCGGCGAGCCTCACCCTGACCTCGCACAGCACACACCCGCGTTCATGAGTGAATTCCAGACCGGGCCCCGGGCACGCACGTCACACATGCTCACCCACACACGTCACACGCCCGTCCACGCACACAGCTTGGGTCGGCTGGCCTGGCCCCTTCTCAGAGAGGCCTGCGTGGACATGCTGGTGGGGGGCAGCAATCCCAGCCCGGGCTCCGGGCCTGAGACAGGTAGGAGCCACCCCCTCGGGCCCGCGGGCAGCCACAGGGAGCCCCCCTTAGCAGCAGAGACCCGGACACCAGGCAGGAGCGCCGCTTGGCAAGATGTGGCGTGATTTAGGCAAAGGCCTCTTAACGAATGAGTGTGTGAGAGGAGTGAGAGGCCCTCCATCCTGCTGGAACAGCTTTGACGGCAAGGGTTTTGAAAGCGAGCTTTAGGGGCTCGTCTAGAAATCACAGAGACAGATGTGGGATACAGCAACAAAGACACTGATTAAACGGGGACTCGAGGAAGAGGCCCTGGGGGTGATCCCACGCCGACCTAGGGAGCGAGGTGCCCTGGGCCCCTGAGAACTGACGGGGGCACCGGCCGGGAGACCCAGAGACCAAGGAGGATGAGAGGCGGGCCCCAGTGGCCAGCGTGCACCCACTCCACCCAACCCGTCCAGGGTGAGAGAGCAGAGGGAAGGGGCTTCGACTTCAGCTGGGGGGTCGCCCCAGGCCCCTCTCTGCAGCCATCAGGTCTGACACGGCGAGTCCATCGGCTGCAACGCTCGGCCACGTGGTTCCCTCCACACATCATTCCCACTGAGAGAAACCCTGCCGCCCTGCCGTAAGAGAAGGCGAGGAGCCCAGGCAGACATAAGCAGGTCCCGGGCACCCAAGGGGCGGGCACACGGGGGACACGTGGCATCACGTGGCGGGTCACGACCTCGGGAAGCACAGCTGCCGTGGACGACACGACCACAGCGTCCCCTGCTCCGACTCAGCCTCCGGGGACTCGGGGGGCCTGCCGGAGGTCAAGGCATCCACTGCGGCTCAGCGGTCTGGGCCATTGGCCACCCTGGTGAGCACACAGGTGCCCAGGGTTTGCCCTGGTGGGGGGACGCAGAAGGACAGGCCGCAGAGGGGTGACTCTGTCCACAACCCCAAGGAGAGACAAGGAAAGGGGGTGTTGGGGTCAACTCCACACCTGACAGGCTGAGCTCAGAGAGACCCAGGGCGGGGCGGGGGCCCAGGAAACACTGCAGGCACGGGGCCAAGGGGGCCCCTCCCCGATGCTGACTTCCAGACCAGACCGAGCACCCAGGAAGGACAGGCAGGCCTCCTCTCAGCCAGACGGGGTGCCCACGCTCACACTGCCGGGTCAAGCGCATGACCCTGCCCGCCACCCTTGGGCTCAGCCCCTGCGGCTGCTGCCTGGACCGGTGAGCGGGCCCCCGGGGTGGGGGTGAGCTCGCCCCGGGGACTCTGACACCTGCACGCTCCCGATGCCTGCTGTCCTTTAATAGAGTGTCAGCTTATAAAAAGGGACTTTTCCTCACGCTGGTTGCTTTCATCCTCTTTGTAAAGAGCCCTGGGTGACAGGGCTCAGGCGGCCGGGGGAGGGGTCCCAGTGTGGCCCCTTCGGGGCGCCCGGAGGGGATTCCTGCACCTCTGACCTGCCTCTCTTTTCCCTGCTCAGCGTTTAGCACCAGGTCCTTTCAGCAAAAGCCCTGCTCTGTCCATGGAGCAGCCCCTCCCCCGCCACAGTCCACCCCCACTCCCGGCCCCTCCTGGCTGCCCTCATCCGTCTCTTGCGGCTCAGCCCCTTCCCGCCACCGAGTCAAGTCCAAACCTGGCTCCTCCTCCAAGGTGCCTTTCATGTGGTTTCCACCTAATCTGAGAACACCTCCTGCCCGTTGTCTCCGAGTCTGTGGACTCTTCCTTCAGCCACCTTTTGAGAAGCTCAGGAGAGGACCCCGCTTCCCCCCGGAGAAGGCATCTCCCCGGGCCCCACCCCACATGCCAGGAGCCAGGGCCGGGGCACTGCGTGGACACAGCTGGCATCATGCTCTCAGCATCTCCCCCATGCCAGGAGCCGCCCCAGGCTTGGGGGCCAGCCCCCAGCCAGGCTGGTGGTGCTGCAAACGCCCGGGGACCAGCACCTTCCACGGGCCTCCCCCTTCCCTGGGCAGATGGTGTGTAGGACCCTCCACGCACCCGAAGCCCAATTCCACACGACCCTCCCTCTCGAGAGCTCACCCCGCCGGAGACTGAAGTGGGGCCTGAGGTCTGACAAGCCACATTTGTGGTTTTCAAAAGAAGTCGTGTTTCATGAGGAACTACCTTTCTTGGCAGAAAATAATTGGAAAGTACCACGGATATCTCAATAAAACACATCAAAAGTAACTTTCTCTGGCTTGTTGGGACAAGTCCACTTGTGGTTTCCATCAACCTCAGCTCAACATCAGGTTTTCTCAGGCAGAGCAGACCATTAAAATACTCAACAGAAAAAGCAAATAGATGTAAGTCCTTCTCTGTTTGCCTATTTTTCAAATAAAAGGCAATACTGAAAGAAGCAGGCGGCCCAACTTAAAGTGCACTTCTCTGATTCATGTGTTCGCTGCAATTATTTGCATAGGATTTAAATGTCTAAGCTCTGGATCCCACCGATCTTTTTCGATGCTGCGTGGTGAAGCCAGAACACTCTGAGCCGGTTTCATATTTACGAAGGCTTGTCCAGCGCTGTGCAGTCTAAGGACAGTCAGAAGGAACTCGTGTAGGATCGAGATTAGACAGAGTGAAGGCTTAAAGCAGACGACAGGGTCGGAGAGAGAGGCTCCATCAGCTTAGCCCCACCCCCACCCCCCGAGGACTCTCTTCTCCACACCCCCAACCCCTGGAGGACAAACCCGCCTCCGGAACCAAACAGACCCTGGAAACAGACAGAAGCAGCCCCACCTCACACAGATGCGAGGAGGACTGAAGTTGGGCCCTGGGCTTCCTGGCGGCCAAAGCTAAAAAGGACCCTGACCCAGGAGCGTGACTTTCACCTTGAAACAAAGACAAAACTTCCTCATTTATCTCAAGGCCAAAGAGGGAAAAATCCTTCACCTGGAGGTAGATTTCAGCAGGCTCTTTGACAAGAGTCCCTGTGGGAGGGGTGGGCTCTCTGGCCGTGTGGTGTCTGTAAGCAGAGATCTAAACCTGCAGAAGACAGTCTCCGCCCCAGGCTTTCACAAGGTGGTACAGTGGTGAGCAGAGCCACCTTCCAAGCCGTAGACCTGGGTTCCAGTCCTGGCCAGCGCGGTAGACTTTAGGGCATCCCAGGTGGCGCTGGCAGTAAAGAACTCACCTACCAGCGCCAGAGACGTAAGAGATGCAGATTCAATCCCTGACTCGGGAAGATCCCTGGAGGGCAACCCACTCCAGTATTCTTGCCTGGAGAATCCCAGGGACAGAAGAGTCTGGTGGGCTACACATAGTCCGTGGTGTTGCAGAGTCCGACACAACTGGAGCGACTTAGCACTCACTCTGCGAAGCACAGGGAACTCTGCTCATTATTCGGTAAACTACCTAAATGGGAAACGAATCTGAGAGGACAGATACATGTATACGTATAACCGAACTGCTTTGCTGTACCCCTGAAACTAACACAACCTTGTAAATCAATTCTAAGCCAGTATAAAGTAAAACATCTTAAAAAGAGAGGCAAGATCATTTTTAAGCTTATGTAGACTGTTTTCTTTTTTAAAATGTATTCAACTTTTAGACTGAAAAAATAAAACTATTAAACTGTTTTCTTAAAAGAAAATAGATTATTAAATAAAAAAAAGCAGCCATACCAGCACTGTCGGCACACACGAGGAGGCATGTCCCTGTCCTGATGTGAGGGGAGCACCTGCACCCACCCACCCTCCCAGCCCCATCCTCGGGAGCGACTCTGAGAGGAGATGGCGTGGGGGTCCCAAGGGCTGGCCTGTCCTGGGGGCCCACCTGCTCCTGCCTCACTGGTCCTCGCAGCCCCAGGAGGCAGCTCCTGGCCTTATCATCCCCCCGCCATGCATGTGCAGAAACTGAGGCAGAGAAGAGTCAGTGGGCCCGGGTCCAGGCATCACAGCAGGGTCTGCCTGCCCGGTGCTCCCACCGCGTCTTCTGGAGGGGCTCAGCCGAGCTCCCCGCTGCAGGATAGCCCTGACCTGCCTGCCACTGCTTCCCGACCCCCACGGGAGCCTCCGCGGGGCCCGACAGCATGCCAGGCGGGCCTTCCTCGGTCAGCTGCAGAAGCCAGCGTCTGGTCCAATGGAGAACGTCTGGGGGTCATTCCAGACACCCTCGGGATCCCGCCCTGCCCAAGGGCTGGGGTAAGTTTGGGGCACAAAGCCCGCAGGGCCCGTTTTTGCCCTCAGGAGCCCATAGTCCCCCGGGGCCTCAATCAGCAGGTCCATGGTACCTGCTGGGGAGGGCAGTGCTGGACCCATGGGAGGGACTGAGGAAAGGCCAGCCTGGATGCTCTGAGAGCAGGTGGGCAACGGGGGCATGGGGGCAGACCCTGAGGTCTGTGGGGTGCCGGGGAAGCCGGGGACCTGAGGCAGAAGGCTGGTGGGGGAGCCCGAGCAGGACAGGGCGTGGCTTGGCGCATGCTGACCCAGGCGGCGGTCGGGGGCGAGCCCCGTGCTGACCGGGGGGCCGCAGCTGTTGCTGCGGACTCCTGGGCGGGAGGCAGTGAGGGACAGCGCGGGGGCATGGCAGGTTCTGAAAGGGGCACTCCCTGGGGTCTGGGCGAGAGTGGGGAAGAGAGACAGAGAGACACCCAGTCAGAGGCAGAATGACAGACAGACGTGCAGAAGAATCCCGGAATGGTCCCAGGAGGTGAACCAGGGGCAGAGACGCTGGCTGTGCCCGGGAGCCCAGGACGGGGCACGAGGCAGGAAAGGGGGGACCCGAGCAAAGGGGCGCCCGTGCCAGCAGCTCGAGGTGCGGGTGAGCCACGTGGGCCCGGCGCCCGGCCTGGGGGTGGGAAGGCCAGGTCAGGGCTGGCATGCGGAACGGCCGCCTGGGGAGGGGGTCCTCCCGAGGAGTGACGATTATCAGCAGACCTCCCAGGACAGGCGAGGCCCTGAGCAGAGGGCGCTGGGCCAGCGGGGGTTGGGGGCACCCGCCTCTGTTTCCTAAGCCGGACCCCAGGACCCAGATCGATGGAGGCTCGCCCTGCCAGCGTGCCTCGAGCCGTCAGGCCCCGTGCTCGGCACTGGGGTCTGCTCCAGGGCGACATGTGTCTCCCCAAGTCTGCGTGCTCAAGTCCTAACCCCCAGCATCTCAGGGTGTGACCCCGCACCCCCAAAACAGAGCAACTGCAGGTGTCTTCAGCTGGGGGGAGTCGTCGGTGGGCCCGACACAAAGGGGAGAGTTGGACCCAGAGCGGACACACAGGGAAGGGGCCATGGGAGGATCGAACCCCCCAGGAGAGAATGGACCAGACCCTCCCTCTCGGCCGCAGTAGGGGCTGAGCCTGCGGGGCACCTGAGTCTCAAGCTCGCGGCCCGGAGGACCGGGACACGGCGACACCCACTGTCGGGACCGGTGCCTCAAGACACAGCCCTGGGACCCGCTCAGGGTGCCGCGAGCCCCCACCCGGCTCCAGCCGCAGCCCCCCGGTCGGAGAGGGGGCCCCCCAAAGACCAGCTGCTCCCTCCGCTGGGAAGAAGGTGACAGTGGTGAGCACCCAGGAGGCAGGCAGACACGGTCGCCATGGGAACCAGGCTCCCGACTCCAGTGCAGGATGAGTTGGGGGTCCAAGGCCAGAGCTCAGGGGGTGGGGGTGGGGGCTCCCAGGCAAAGGCCGCACTGTTGCACACTGGGCAAGACCCGAATTTAAATGCATGTTAGGGCGGGGACAGCTGCATCGTTACGAAGCAGCCGACTTGAGGGGGTGCAGACCTAGGAGGTGGCCAAGCCGAGCGCCCCAGTCTCCGCTGGGCCTCATTCAAGAACAGTCACCCACTGTGGCCAAATCCTGCTGGCTCCAGGGGCCCCTCTGAGATGTGACTGACGCTGACGCTGCTCCCCGAGGCCTCTCAGGCCAGCGGGTCCAGTGGGAGGCTCCAAGTCCCAGGCCGTGGGGCTGAGCCCCGTCCGTTGAGGGGGCGCACTCCGCCAGGCCCGGAGCGTGAAGAGGGCAGGAGACGCTGCGGAGGAGGGGACCTGGGTTAGCAGCCTCAGCGGCCGGAGCGCACAGTAGGTGCCGTGCAGCTGAGACGTCGTGGTTTTGTTAGAGAGGCTGGTCGTGGTCTCACTGTCCTGACCAGCCGTGGCTGCAGTGATGTCAACAGCAGCCTGTGGACACTCGAGAATGTTCCCAGGGCATCTCTGCGGGGCTCTGGTGTCTACAGACCGGGAGTCCTGAGAGCAGCCTTGAGCAGCGCTCAGCGGGCGGTGGGGGAGGGATGGGGTGGGGGGGTGTTGCGATGCCTGGGACAGTGGACCAGAGTTGGGAGTGGTGGCACAGGCCCAGGCGTGCTGGGCAAGACTAGAAAGGTGGGCCTCCTCTCTGGGCAGCCCCCGCTCCTTCCAGGCCTGTGCGGAGGCCCCCAGACTCCTCAGACCCCCTCCCGCCTCCCGCCCCACAGCCCCTGTGTCCTTCCGTGAGCACTGCTGGACTCAGATCGACCCGACTCAGCGCTGGGCTGGGCGCTGGCAACGCGCTCCTGAGAAGCTCCGTGAGTAAGGGGGGAGGGCGCGGCTCCCCTGCAGCTCCTGAGACCCTGGAAACCGCGCCCAGGTGAGGAGCGGACGGATGAAGGGCCCCAGCTTCTCGGCTGTCACAAGCTGTCGGCTCAGCCGTCAGCAGAAGCAGCTGCAGCCGCATCGATCATCAGCACGACTCCTGGAGTCAATGGATGGCGGAGACGGCCCCATTGCACGGCAGAATAATCCATCTTTGGTCCGCTGTGGGTTTAGACTCTTCTGAGTCAAATTCTATGTAAATATGTGATTTTACCTCGGTCCTTTCATTTTGGGCTGTGCGTCGAATGGATGTGTTGGCTTAGAATTTATCACCATAACATGCAAAGTGCTAGAAACAAGATGGGGGCATAGCTGAACCACAGCTAAGAATAGATCTAATTTATGCAAGTTGATTATACTTGTAGCAAGAGTGATAATTAGAGATATTTTGAAGAAAAAAAAAGAACTCGAAAGTGAAGATAATTGGAAGATTTATCTCTCCTAGGCTCTGAGATAGCAAAGAATGAGATCTTTAATTACATTAATAAGAAAATAATTATTGATAGTCACAAATAATGTCTCTCCTGGTTCAGGGAGGCTCATGAACTATTAGACCTATCCAATCAATCGAAAACCTAGAGAGGTCTTTTAACGATACTTACTCGAGAGTGAAGGAGCCCACACGTCCAGGGTGAGGGAAGTTGTTCCCGTGATTAGATCTGTAACAGGTAATTGTTAGCAGGCATGGAGGAAGAAACCCCACAGACCTGAAGGACGGGGTCTGGGGTGCAGAGCTCCCCAGAGCTTCAGTGGGAGCCCTGCCTCCCACCTCGGGGGCTTAATGAAAACTCGGTGGGGTGTGGGTCTGGAGCCAGTGACACAGAAGGGCCTCCTGGCTCCTGCCCTGCCTGAGGGTCACCCCCAAAGGCCTCTTTCAGCTCTGAGAACACATACCTGTGACCACACATTTGGAAAAGGTGTTTTTATTTCCTCACAAAAGTCACTTTGCGGAGGCTTCTCAGAGGTCCGACTGCGGCAAGCTGACCTCCGTGGGCCTGACCCCTCTCCGGCTCTGGGGCTCCCCACGTCCTTCCAGCCTGAACCCGCCTGCTGGCCGGGTCTTCCTCGGTCTCCATCTGCCCACAAGCCTTAGCCAGCACCCCTCCCCTAGGACCAGAAGCCTGGAGCCATGGAAACACTGAAGTCCTCTTGTGGGCAAAGACATCCAGGGAGCCAAGTTCGGGGTGTCTGCCTCTCTGGCACAGACAACCCGGCTCTTCGACAGGGGAGACCCATCTGGGAGGAGTTCACTGTCTGGACCAGCTCTCGTGGCCGTCCCACCCCTGCCCTAAACCCCCACACCGGGAGACACACAGACCCGGCCTCAGGCTCAAGACCCCCACAGATGGCAGGCCTCGGGGGTCTCCCAAGCCCCTGGGTTGCTGGCGACTCCCGTGTGGGGTCGGGTGGGGTGGGGGGCACGCGGCCGATGCTCTCCTGGGAGCCCCATGGTCCAGTGGGCCTCTGTTCACCCACCTGTCACCACCAGACCTGCTCCTGGATGACCAGACCTGTCTTGGTGCCCGTGGCCTTCCCGGGGTCAAGCAAAGATCCAGCACACCGTAAACGCCTGGAACAGATAATGCACGCATTGTAACACAGAACAGAAGTCTGATGAACCTTCAGACATGAACCGTGGAAGCCGTCGTCAAGCAGTGTTTCCGGCCACGGGGTCAAAAGGGAAGAAGCCAGAGCGGGGCAGGAGGTGAGTCATCAGCGTCCACTTTGCTGCTAGTCGTGCACCCGGCCCTGTGCTCAGACCCGGGGGACTCCCGGCTTCTGGCTGCTGACCTCATTCTTCTGGAGCCCAGGCTGTGTTGGGAGGTGTGGGGTGGGGGTGTCTGATGTCACCTTCAGTCCAGGCCATGCCCCTTAGAGTCCAAACACCCTGGACAGGCCTGTGGTTCTTAACAAGATTTTGTTGACTGTGTCACTTTGCCAACAAAGATCCGTATAGTCTAACTATGGTTTTTCTAGTGATCATGTGAGAGTTGGGCCATAAAGAAAGTTGAGTGCCAAAGAATTGATGCTTTTGAACTGTGGTGTTGGAGAAGACTCTTGAGAGTCCCTTGGACTGCAAGGAGATCCAACCAGTCCATCCTAAAGGAGATCAGTGCTGGGTGTTCATTGGAAGGACTGATGCTGAAGCTGAAACTCCAACACTTTGGCCACCTGATGGGCAGAGCTGACTCATTGGAAAAGACCCTGATGCTGGGAAAGATTGAAGGCGGGAGGAGAAGGACGCCAGAGGATGAGATGGTTGGATGGCATCACTGATTCAATGGACATGAGTTTGAGCAAACTCTGGGAGATGGTGAAGGACAGGGAAGCCTGGCGTGCTGCAGTCCATGGGGTCGCAAAGAATCAGACACGACTGAGCGACTGAACAGCAACAAGCAGAACTGATCCTTCGAGAAATCCAAGCACTCACCTTCCCAGGCCTGCTGTCCACTGCTGCTGAGACGCAGCAGTTTTAGACCAGGCCACACTGCCCAGAACAAACCCAAGAAAACAAGAAAAACCACAGCCAAGACTCGACTCCAGACTCCCCAACCAGTGCTCCTTCCAGAAGATCCAATCCCACAGCCTGACCTGACTTCTCAAAAAGACGTCTTACAGCCTGACTGCACTTGCTGACTAACGGGCTGCAGACATCAGAAAACTACTCTGACCACAAAGAGGCTGCTGGCGCTGGGTCTCCCTTAATAAAGGAAGGATGCTTCACTCCATCTGGGCACTTGGATTTTAATGTTTAAAGACGTTTGCGGTCTCCAGAAGTGAAACCATGAACCTGCGTCCAGAGGGAGAAGGGGACGGCTCCTGGCACAGTCCGAAGCTGCCCTGGCATCAGGCAGCCTTCGCTTCTGTGAGGTGGCACCCCAGATCCCAGGGCTGGGCTCGGCTCAGGGGTCTGCAGCTGAGCTGCCTGCCCTGGGGGCAAGGAGTGGAGGGTGCCATGAAACCCTCCCGCGAGGACTGTGTCCATCTGCGGGGACTGACTGCCTCACGAACCTGACCCGTGCCCAACCTGATCGTCGGTAACTCACAAGGGTCCTCCCTCAGCACCTGCAAGGCTTCGTCTCTCCTGCTTGCTGTTCCCACAGGTCTGACATCCACCGCCACTCCCTGTGATGAGTCCCCGGTGGTTCAGGCTGTACAGACTCTGCCCGCCATGCAGGAGACCTGGGTTTGATCCCTGGGTAGGAAAGATCCCCCGGAGATGGGGATGGCAACCCACTCCGGTATTCCTGCCTGGAGAATCCTATGGACAGAGGAGCCTGGCGGGCTACAGTCCATGGGGTCGCAAAGCCTCGGGCACCGCTGACTGACTTTCACTTTCACTTTCGGCCACCTCCCTGTAGGCAGTTCTGAGTCAGCTCCGGGGACCCAGGGATCAAGGTGCCCTGGTCCATGCTCCCAAAGCCCAGGGTCTTGGGGACGCCTCACTGACCAGTCAGTCCTCAGTATCGCTGTCTTCTGTGGGAGAGTCGTGAACAGACAACTCCTTACAAATGAGCAGAAGGACAGAATTTCCCGCATTTACAAAGAGAAGCTGAGGGGGAAAAACAGGGTGGGAGGGAGGGTAAACACCCCTCTAGTCATTTGCTTTTGAAAGAGGTGGCTTGAGGCTTCTCACCAGAAAGGCTCTTAAAGCCTCGGGCTTTGGACCATGCCAAGTTCTCTAAAATTAAGGTGCCTTTCTGAGAAAAGATCATGAGTCAGAATTAATCAAGGAAACTCAATCCGCTTCTTGCCCACACCCCAGCCCTCAGCCTTGAAGGAGGTCTCTGGGCTCAGCCCAGCCTGGCCAGACAGAAACTTCTACACCCCAAACCGTGCGGGGAGCAGGCTCACCAGGACTCTGGTGGTGATGATGATACAGCCTCACCTGCGCAAGGTCACTGCATGGAGCAGGGGTGCGGCCACCAGCCTTGGGGCGGAGGGGCAGGGGGCGGAGGGGAGGGGACCCAGAAACACTCGACGGGGCGCTGTGTGCTCCATGCTTCGTCATCAACTCTGCTGAGGAGACAAAGTGGGTTTAGAACACTTTTATCTGACGTTTACATATCTAAAGAGACTTCACTGGTGACTCAGAGGGTAAAGCATCTGCCTGTAATGCAGGAGACCTGGGTTCGATCCCTGGGTCAGGAAGATCCCCTGGAGAAGGGAATGGCAACCCACTCCAGTATCCTTGCCTGGAGAATCCCACGGACAGAGGAGCCTGGCAGGCTACAGTCCATGCGGTCGCAAAGAGTCGGACATGACTGAGGGGCTTCACTTTCACTTTCTATAAAAGCACCAAATTCCCACCGTCTTTCCAGGCAGGCCCCTCTCAAGCCCGCGTGGAACTTTCTCTGGCACGCCGGCCGAGACCGAGAAGCCCCAGGTCCGTGCCGGCAGCCGGCTCCCCATCTCTGTGCCCACTCTTCTCGGGGTCCATCTCGGCAGCACAGTGGCACCGGGGCTGAGCGTCTAACCCAGCCCTCGTAACCAGCTCTGCCTCGGGAGCCACAGAGGGTCCTGGGGGCCGCTTCCATCCGCCCGGCCGCCGCCTGTTCGTGGCCACACGGATAAGGCCCCAGGGAGGGGACAGCTGGTCCCTGAGGGGAGAAGGCGGATGGCGCGTTCCCTCCTTCCCCCAGGTGTTCCTGATCGAATGCAGGCGATGAGGCTCTCAGGCCATTCAGAGGGAGGCGACCGAAACATCAAAAGGAAAGTGTGTGCATGTCATACTGTGTGTGCGTGTGTGTGTGGGTGCCGCCTGGACCGTAGAGTCGGCTCTGATTGGAGGATCTTACTTTATACTGTTTGACTCCTTTTCAGAGAGTGAAAGGGAAGGATGATACTTGTGCTGCGCTCTGGGAGCTGTGTCCTAAAAAGTAAAATCAAGGAGCAAAGATGGTGACCCTGTGGTTCAGCAACGCCACTCCTGGGCATAGATCCAGAGAAAACTGTGATTTGAAAAGACAAATGCTCCCCAGTATTCATAGCAGCAGAGTTTACAGTGGCAAAGACGTGGAAGCAGCCAAGTGTCCAGCAACAGGGGAGTGGCTATAGAAGATGGGGCACATTCATCAATGGAATAGTACTCAGCCGTAAAAAGAACAAATAATGCCGTCTGCAGTGCCATGGGTTAGCCTAGAGAGTTCACACTAAGCGAAATAAGTCAGACAAAGGCAAACCTCCTATGATATAGCTTATATATGGCATCTAAAAAATTACCTAGTTTATAAAACAGAAACAGACTCACAGACACAGGAAGCAAACTTGTGTTTTCTAAAGGGGGACGGGGGAGGGAAAACCAGGAGTTTGGGAATAACAGACACACATTCCTGCGTATAAAGTAGATAAACAAGGGCATACTGCACAGCGCAGCATGTCTGTGTCCAAGGAGCTTCCTAGTGGCTCAGACGGCAAAGAACCTGCTTGCAGTGCAAGAGATCTGGGTTTGATCCCTGAGTCAGGAAGATCCCCTGGAGAAGGGAATGACTAAAACACTCCAGTATTCTTGCCTGGAGAATTCCATGCACAGAGGAGCCTGGTGGGCTACAGCCATGGGGCTGCAAAGAGTCAGACACAGCTGAGCGCCTAACACTTTTACATAATAACGTATCGTGAAAAAGAATCTGCAAAGGAGCAGGCATGTAGATATATGTGTGACTGAGCCACCTTGCTGTACCCCCAAGACTAACACACGCCGTAAATCAACGTGTGTGTGTGTGGTGTGCCAGTCCATCAGTCCTGTCCGGCTCTCTGTGACCCCATGGGCTGCAGCCCACCAAGCTCCTCTGTCCCTGGGATTCTCCAGGCCAGAAAACTGGACTGGGTTGCCATTCCCTTCACCAAAGGATCTTCCCCACCCAGGGATCAAACCTGGGTCTCGTGCATCGCAGGCAGATTCTTTGCCATCTAAGCAACCTCTACTCCAATAAAATCCTTTAAGTGGTGACCAGTTAACCTTGTTATAAACTTGTGCTGGAAACTTGTGCTCAACTTGTTATAAACTGTGCTGGAAATGAGGCCTCAGGGAACAGAGGCACAAGCGCTGACCCTTCCTTGGTCCTTTCTGGAGGCTGCACACTTCCTCCCACGTCCAGGCTGGGAACCTCCCTGGCCCCACCTCCCCGGGAGCCCTCAGAAAAGCAGGAGGGTCGCCCCTGGTTTGAGGCCTAGCTCTGGTGCCGGACACGCAGTGCCATCTGCCAGGACTCCGAGAGTCTCCGTGCCTCACTCCGCCCTTGTGTAAAACAAGACTCAACGGCACCGCGTCCAGGGCTGAATCCGAGGAACGCAGAGTCCGAGCACAGTGAATGCTCAGCAAACAGGAGCAGCCATGGCCAGGGAGGGCAGAAGGGCCACCTCCCCGGGAGCTCCGGTTTGCAGACTCACCAGGAAGGACTCAGACAATCTGATGAACAAGATGTATGATGGATGGGGCACATGGCTGGGCAGTGAGACAGATTTCCTGAATATGTGGCTCTGGTTTTTAAAGATTGTCAGCATTAAGTACACGCATGCATGCGCGTGCACGCGCACACACACACACGCATGAGTGCTTGGAGGAGGGGCTGGACGGCCCAAGGGCAACCTTAGGACCAACATTTCAGGTAAGCTCCATGCAAGGCTTCAGTCTGTGGGCAGGTGGCACACGGGAGCCGCCTGGAGACCCTGGCACACACATTCTGAGTCAGGGGGGCCGTGGGAGGGGGCACAAGGCTTGGCAGGTGACCTGGTGCTGGTCAGGGTGGACATTCAGAGGCACTGCCCAAGCCCGCAGTGACCTCGTCCTTCACAGCCCCTCGGGCTCCAAGGCCCCTCTCCTAGTCTCTCTTCTTCTTCACGGAGGTCACGGTAAGAGCCACACAGGACAAAAATCCAGCAGGCAAGGAGCTTTAGGGAAGGTGCTGGGCACAGAGGACAGAAAGAGGGGCAGATTGCAGAGCAGTTTCAGAGCCCGGGAGAGGGTCCTGCTGGCCTTCTCCCTGAAACAGGGAGAGTGAGCCCGCAGTTTTCAGCGAAGACTCCACGAGACAGACTCTTCCAGTTCGGCACGCTCGAGCGCTCGGAAGACACTTCACCCCCAGCCTCCCTGGATGCACCCTGGAGGTGAGGTCAGCACTCTCTCTCCTTAATAAGTTAAACACAATTCACAACCGTGACAACAAGAAACCTCTCCAAGAAGCTTTCAGCAAATATGAGACATCCACCTTCTGGAAAGGGGATGGCCGAAAGGACCAGGTTCCTTCAAAGTACACCTAAGTATTTGTTATGTCGGGTACGGGGGAGAGGGTGTGAGGCTGGAGACTAAAGGAGACAGAACTGGGTGGGCGAATGGTGGGTGGATGGATGGATAAATGGATGGATGACTGCATGGAGGGATAAGTAGATCAATGGATGGATGGAAGGATGGATAGGTGGATGGGTGGATAAATGAGTGAATAAATGGATGGGTGATGGATGGATGGATGGATGGATGGCTAAATGGACGGATAGATGGATGTGTGGGTGTGAGCGACTATGTGGGTGGATAAGTGGACGCATGCATAGACAGATGCAGATGACGATGCACAGACGTCAGACAGACACAGCAGAGAGAGTGGACCTAAGACAGGATCCAGCACAGGTCACCAGTGACGGGGGGACCCTGTCGTCGCCGTGTGCCCGGCTCCTCACTGCACAGAGTCCAGCCCACCTTCCCCCAATGCGAGCAGAGGTCACACCCACCCCTTACCATGGAGTAGCAGCCCCGCGGCCACCCGGCTCTGTCCCCAGGGCTGCATGCGGGGAACACGGTGCAGACTGGCCGCCCCCGCTGCCTGGGCAGCAGGCTCCTCCCTGATGCCCCCAGGCGATGATGCCCCAGGGGCCGCTGCCTTAGGAGGACCAGTGTCCCCTGCAGGGACACGCACCCCCGGGCTGCCTGTGCCCAGTGGTCCCCAGGCCCCAGAGCCGGGCTCTCTGTCCCCAGAAGTTCTGGGAGTCTCTCTCTGGTCATCGTCCTCTGCCAGGCGCTGGCAAGTGGCTCACGGAGGCCTCACGCTGCTGAGGGCTGAGTCCCTCCCACCTCCCCAGTCCTGTGCCAGGACCTCACCCTCAGTTCAAGCCCCTCCCCACATCAGGGGGGAGTCATTCGGGTCATTTCAAAGCGAATTTCCAGGAGAAAATTACTCTTACAAAGCAAAGCCCCCAGCACAGGTGAGACGGTGGGGTGAGGGGTGGGGGAACCGGGGCAGGTGCTCCCTTAGAACACAGGCTTCTCCCTCTCCGACAGGAGGAGGCCCAGCTCCCCTGGAAACACTCCCCAGAGGTTCTGTGAGCCAGGCATTCAGAAACCAGAGAGGAGGTTCACACGAGGCGGCTTTAGCTGAGCAACCCCCCGGGAAGAGGAGGCGTCCCCCCTACAGGTCAGTTGTGAGAAGCAGGATGAAGTGATGCCGGTCACACCCTCGTTCACCTCCGCCGCATCTGCGGGGTTGGCTTGAGCTCTCCTGCTCAGAGAAGCATGCCTGGGCCCCCAGCTCGGTCAGGGTCCACCTTCCACAACCTCCTGGCCCAGCATCTCCTCCGAGACCTCGGTACATTTCATAACTGCTTCTCCATCTCCCCCCAGAACCCAAGCTCCCTGGGCTCCCCAAGGTCCAGCATGTGACTGACAGCCCCATACAAGTTTCTTAAAAATAAATGAACGAGTGAAGAGTCATACACTCACGGAGCAGGGGCAGGAAGAGAACAGGTGCATCCCCGCCCGCTCTGTGGGCGATCTGGGAGGGGCAGCCCCCGGGGGAACGCCAGGGAAGGGTTGGAGCAGGGAGGGAGTGGACGTGGGGGCCCTGGGATCACGCTTTTTCTCTCTGGGGACCACGAGGAAGAAGGACAGTGGCCCTCGGGGGTCCCCTCACAGCCAGCCACCCTGAGGCTCGGCCCTGTTCCCCAGCCATCCGGGGACCCTGCATCTTCAACCACCCAAAGGCTCCAGGGCCTGGAGGAACAGGTTGCCAGGGAAACACATCATTTTCCATTGCCCAGAAGGCTTCAGGGCCTGGAGGAATGAAAGTGAAAGTCGCTCGGTTGCATCTGACTCTTTGAGACACCATAGACTATACAGTCCATGGAATTCTCCAAGCCTGGAAAACAGGACTTCAACCCTGAGGAGCGACAGAGAGCAAGAAGGTCAAAGAACCGTCTGGAGGTTGCGGCAGGCGGCTCTGACAGCTCGGCAGTCCGGGGTCCTGTCCTCAGTCAGGGACCCTGAACCGAGGCGGCGGGGCACGTCCTGCACCCGAGGCTCCCGGCAGGATACAGAAGCCGCCAGTGCCGCTGGGGGCGGAAGGCCTTCCCAGCCATTTAAAGCAAGGACCGGGCCGCCGACCAGGGCGACTTTGTCTCAGGAGTAGTGACGTGTCCTCGCCCCCAGTCCAGCTGGGGTCGTCAAGAGCTCCCGTCTAATCCGACTGAGAGGAGGGGGCTCTCCCCACTGAGGGGAGGGGCAAGATGGACCTGGGGTGCAGCAGGCCTCGCTGGAGAACGAGGGGCTGGGGGTGAACCCTGTGAGCAGTCCCGGGAGGGGCCTCTCTGGGGGACCCACTGACGTGCCCGCCGCGGAGCTGCTCCGCGTTTCAGACATGCTTCTCCGCCCCACGAGCTCGCAGGGCCGCCGCTGGCACCCCTGTCTCCTGACTGCCTCGGCCCAGGAGCTGGGGGCACAGACAGCCGTCACCCCTCACGCCCGCCGGACACCCGGCTCCCTGAGGGTGGCCAAGGGGTCTCTGGGTCCACAGCGTGGCCCGGCGGCCTCCAGCGAGCTTCCTAGCCCCTCGTGACGATGGGACTCGCAGGTTAGCCACGTTCATTCTCCCGCTTTCCTTGCTGAAAGAGCTGCAGTTCTTCTCAGGGCAGCAGAATTTCCTTTAAAACCTGCATTTCCCAGTCCCCACGAGGCTGGCGTTGTCGCTCAGAGAGGGAGGTGAGAGCGGCGGGGGGGCTTCTGAGAGGCTCCGACCCCCTGCTCCGGGCGGGCTCCTTTCTTCCTCGCGGCTTCCTCCTTCCCCCTCTCTCCCCCTCCCCCCATCTCTCCTCCTCTCCCGCTTCTTCCCTCCTCCTCCTCCTTTCTCCTCCTTCTTCTGGGGAACGTTGATGTTAGGCAGGAGGTAGGGCATCCATTTTGTGGCCATGAGGCATCCGTGAGAAGGAGAGCGTAGAAAGGTAGGGCCCCAAATGTGACGCCATTGTGGAACTGTTGCCCTGGACTCAATGGCCCCACACCTAGCAGACACCCCCAGTCAGCAGGGCCACTGGAGCAGGTCAGAGACACCCAGGCACCATTCCTAACCGACCAGGAAAGGGGACTGTTTTGGTCTTGGAAGAGCACACCCACATATATGAGAATAACTCATCCTGGGGCTTTGAGACAACGCAGTCAGCCTTCTACTTACTACTGACCACAGGCCCAGAAGGGAACAACTTGCAAGAAGGGGCTTATATCTTGCTGGTGGCATCACTTGTACATAAAATCTTAGGGGCCTGACGTGATGGCAAGACGAGGCACCTACAGGAAAATAACAAAAACACCCCAAAGTATGGAGACAAAACCTTGTGAGAAATCCAGAAAGGAAGTCAGTAGTGTGGGGTGGGGTTACCTAGAAAGCCTCGCTGGAGAGGGTAAAATTTGTGCTGAAACATTTCAACTTGAAAGGCCTATATAATTAAGATATAGCAAGTCCCGTTAAGAGAGGCCACACCTGTGTTTGCTGACTCCATGGGTGCAGTCAACTCAATTTATCCAAAATTCCAACAAACAGAAGAACTAATAAAGATTATTTGCATCTACAGCTGCAGACCTATGCATCGCTAATTGATGTTTATTAAGACATCTTTGGGGAAACAGAGAAACCCCAAAGGACCTTATTATCCAAAGAGTCAATTACTTCCAAATTGTTTGGATGTTAAGAGTAAGTTGGTACATTGTCGGCTCATATTCAGTCTGGGTTGTGAAATAAATGAAGATGCTATGTGTCTGTTCAGCCAGCTAATTATATTCCCCATAAATTTATCCATACAGAAAATCTGTGACTAGACAGTAATTTGCTTAAATTCAGTCTGCATATTAAATGATCATCTGCTTTTTTTTCTTTGTTTTTGCTTTATTTCCTTTTTGTTTTCCTTATTTATATTCAGTTACTGCCTCCAGCCTCCAAAAAAAAAAAAAAACCAGAAAGCGACTGTAATTAATTTCTAATAAGAAATAATATGAATTCAGATATCATGCAGGAACTTAATCTTTTTAGTCTAATTCCACAGAACACCCTCAGAGCTCAATTCTGTAGTCATTAGTTGGGCATTCATGTCAAAGGCAAACCCATTTCTAGAAAAATGGGGAAACAGACAATTTTAGACCCATTAAAAATACAAGAACTGTTCAAAATAGCTAGTCTAGTGCAGATTCTTTTTTGTTCAGAGGTTTTCAGAAACAAGATATGACATAAGTATGGTCTGATGGGTTAGTTCTCTAACCTGTGACCCACACAATGCAAGTCAGCCCCCATTTATCACATGTTCCCAGGCCGTCCTGGGTTGGAGATACTGTGGAAACCCACAGTATCTTCATAGACAAGAGAACGTTTACAAAGAATAGCTCTGAGTTCTTACAAGTGTCTCCAAACCAGAAGGATAATAAATATTCTCACAATGACCAGAAAAAATGAGCATCAATGCCTTTGACAAAAGGTAAGCAGATTATTTGTTCAAACGGGAGAGTGAAACGGCTCGTGGAATTTTCTAATACCAAGCTGGGGGCAGAAAAGAATCCTTAAGTACCAATTTGGCTTAGAACAATAGAATCCCATAGAATGCCACAGAAATAGCTTCTGTAAAGATTCCCACTCTTTCCTGGTGATCTGTTTCCTGGGATTCCACTTTCGGGCCCCAGGTCACATCGGGGCCTCTCCTGCCCCGGTCCACATTGTGCCAGAACTCAGCGGGAGGCACTGCAAGCATAACAGAGCAAGAGCTGAGATGTTAGGACGCCTGTGTTTGTTATTCTGCTTTGCCTGTTTCTCATTGTAAAGAGCCTGTTTTCAACTTTTATAAGTTTTTAAAAATTTTTTCTCAATAACGTTTAATGAATGGAAAAATGAAAATCTGAACTTTTTTCTTGATAGAGGTTCCTGGGCTTCCTACTGTCTGGTTGATCTTATGCTGGGTGCCCTGCAAAGCTGGTGACAGGACAGTTTACCTAACAAAGAATGCGGCAATACCAGAATTAATCGAAGTGGCCGGACTTCTTTGGCCAAAGATATTTACATTGTGATTAAGTCGAAGCTGTGGGAAAATTACACTTCTCCAAGAGACAGGTAATGCCAGAGTTTTCTTGGATGTGGGCACCTCTGGGGTCCTCGGGGGAGATGGAATCAGGTGCACACTTTCTGTCTCACAGATGACCATGACAGTCCACACGCTGGACCACCGAGACAAGAGCTGAGTCAGGGCACACTCATCCCTGCCCCTAGAAAAACAGTGGGGGGCATTTCTGATTCCAAGTCTGGGGCAGAGACTTGGCTTGCTGGCAGACCCAGGGGTCTCCAGAGAGGAGTGCTTGGAGGGACTGCAAGAGGACCACTTCCTCCACAACTTCCACAGCACCTGGAATTCCACCAGCAGACCTGGAGACGTTCTTGTGCTCATCAAGGCGTTCTTGTGCCCAGAGCAGATAATAGAAAAACTAATACCTGAAAGGAAATACCCATCCCTCCCTGTGGCTCGGATGGTAAAGGGGAATCTGCCTGCAATGCAGGAGACCCGGGTCCCATCCCTGGGTTGGAAGATCTCCTGGAGGAGGGCATGGCTACCCACTCCAGTATGTTTGCCTGGAGAATCCCCATGGACACAGGAGCCCGGTGGGCTGCAGTCCACGGGGTCGAAACAGGTCGGACACGACTGAGCGGCTAACACTTTCACCCATTCTTTGTTGTTCAGTCGCTCGGTCGTTTCACTCTGTCCATGGCCTGCAGCACGGCAGGCTTCTCTGTCCTTCACCAGCTCCCAGAGCTTGCTCACACTCATGTCCGTTGAGTCGGATGCCATTCCACCATCTCACCCTCTGTCGTCCCCTTCTCCTCCTGCCCTCAATCTTTCTCAGCATCAGGGTCTTTTCCAGTGAGTCAACTCCTCTCATGAGGTGGCCCAAGTATTGGAGTTTCATCTTCAGCATCAGTCCTTCCAATGAACACCCAGGTTTGATCTCCTTTAGGATGGACTGGTTGGATCTCCTTGCAGTCCAAGGGACTCTCAAGAGTCTTCTCCAACACCACAGTTCAAAAGCATCAATCTTTTGGCACTCAGCTTTCTTTATGGTCCAACTCTCATATCCACACATGACCACTGGAAAAAACATAGACTTGACTAGATGGAGCTCTGTTGCAAAGCACTGTGTCTGCTTTTTAATATGCTATCTAGGTTGCTTATAGCTTTCCTTCCAAGGAGCAAGCATCTTTTAATTTCAAGGCTGCAGTCACCATCTGCAGTGATTTTGGAGCCCAAGAAAATAAAGTCTCTCACTATTTCCATTGTTTCCCCATCTATTTGCCATGAAGTGATGGGACTGGTTGCCATGATCTTAGTTTTCTGTATGCTAAGCTTTAAGTCAGCTTTTTCACTCTCCTATTTCACTTTCATCAAGAGGCTCTATAGTTCCTCTTTGCTTTCTGCCATAAGGGTAGTGTCATCTGCATATCTGAGGTTATTGATATTTCTCCTGGCAATCTTAATTCTAGCTTGTGCTTCATCCAGCCTGGCATTTCATGTGATGTATTCTGCATAGAAGTTAAATAAGCAGAGTGACAATATACAGCCTTTACCTACTCCTTTTTCAGTTTGGAACCAGTCTGTTGTTCCATGTCTGGTTCTAACTGTTAGTTCTTGACCTGCAAACAGGTTTCTCAGGAGGCAGGTGAGGCAGTCTGGTATTCCTATCTCTTTAAAAATTTCCCACAGTTTGTTGAGTAGCTTTTATAAAGCAAGGCTTGCAGAAATTGATCACTGGCTAAATGCCTAGAAGAAGGAAAGAAAGAGTAGGAGGTATGTGAAAAAAAATCAGAAGAAAATCATCTGGAAATAATACAATAAGGAACCTTAACTCCCAAACAAGTATTTCTGTGCCTATTATCAGGTCGCAGGCATGCACATGGTCTAATGGGTCCTACTGGAGAGGCCTTTTCTGCTGGAATGAATTTTTGTGGATAAATTCATTTATATAACTTTTTTAAGATTGCACATGTAAGTGATAATCATGATATTTGTCTTTCTCTGTCTGACCTACTTCAGTTAGGAAAATAATTTCTAAGTTCATCCAAGTTGTTGCAAATGGCATTATTTCATTCCTTTTTCTAGATAATATTCCACTGTTTATATGTACCATGTCTTCTTTATCTATTCATCTGTCACTGGACATTTTTAGGTTGCTTCCGTATTTTGACTTTTGTAGGTTTTGGGTTTTTTAATAGTTCTGAATATCTTGCAATAATAGGCATTACATATTAAATAATGTCTAATATGGTTTATTCATTCATTTCAGTTGGAAGTTATCCTCATAACTTATGTAGAGCTGAGTAGGGTGTTAAATATAACTACTTTCAATCCTTTCCTTTTTACGTATGAGGACGCTGAGACACGAAAAGGTAAATTTATTTATTCAAAGTTCTGCAACTAGAAAGGATGAAAGTCAACACTAGAAGCACATCTCCCAAAGTTCACAGGACTGTTTTTTCCACTTAGCACTCTGTCTCATTATCCTTTAGAAGGCAAGGGTCATAGAGAGTTTGGTCCCCTTCTTCCCCAGCTCTAGAGAGACTTCTGAACGAAAGCTTGATCTCAGAGGGACTCTGGTACAACACAAGTTAGTACGTGAGTTTAAATCTGCTCTAGAAGAAATAATATTCACTTCCTCCAAAAATTAAACACAGAGTTACCATATGTCTAGCAATTCCACTTCCAATAGCAGCATTATTCATAATAACCAGGAGGTAGAAACCACCCACGTATCTATAGATGGATAAATGCATAAATACAATGTGATAGATGCAGACGATGGAGCATGACTCAGCCTTAAACAGGAAAGCAACTGTGACACCTGCAACGACGTGGATGAACCTTGAGGATGCTGTGTTCAGGCCAGTAAGCCAGACACAATGCGACAAATGCCGTGTGAAACTGCTTACATGAAGTCACCGGAAGAGTCACATTTGTGCATGTATGTGTTGCATGTGTGTGTGTAAGTTGTCTCAGTCGGGTCCGACTCTTTGTGATCCTACGGACTGTAACCCACCAGGCTCCTCTGTCCAAAGGATTCTCCAGGCTAGAATGCTGGAGTGGGTTGCCATGCTCTCCTCCAGTCACATTCATAGAGAAAGAAAATAGAAGGATGGTTGCCCAGGGCTGGGGGAGGGTTCTGGGGAGGTGCTGTCTTGGTGGGTACAATTGTTTAATGTTTGCAAGATGAGCAGGTTCTGGAATCTGTCACACAGTGTTCTGAACATTCTTGATCCCATGGGAGCATACACATAAAATGGTTAAGATAGCAAATTTTATGTTAAGTGTTCTTACCACAATTGTAAAAGTTTTTAAAGAAGAATGTTCCTTAAATATAACCGCCAAATGTAATGAGCTCAATATGACACAACCTCTAATGCAAGCCACAGGCCTACAGGCTCAGATAGGCATTGCAAAGTCTCGATTTTTTATCTGCAGTCACTCCAGAAAGAGCCAAAAAGAAGGCCCAGTAACAAGGGTGGGGCAGTGGCCCAGCGCATCAGGCGTCTGACTGCAGATCGGGAGAAAACACAGTGATGTTCCCGTCTCTTCTCAACTGTCACCAAAGAAATACTTTTGCTGAGCAGAACTCAGCTCTAAGACCCTTTTGGCTGCAGGAGAGCTGAGACAACTCATTACAGTTTCAGCAAGAAGCCTCTGGACAGATGGCTTCACCATTTTAATTAAGTACGTCTATTAGACTGTTGGAATTCATACATGCAACACGACAGACGTTTTCTGTGCTCACTTAGAATTTTTAGTCATTTGCTATCTATGTGTTGTCAGAATCGGGGCCCCTTGTGAATTTTATTCTGTTCAATTTTGCAGTTTATTCATATTTTGTCATTTTATAGTTATTTCTGAGCAGTCTTCAAGCAGAATGTGTAAAAGAAAAATTTTAAGAAATAAAGAGTGCTTTCGCTCTAGGCATGAGAACTAATTTTAGTTGAGATGAACCACTGAGTCACCGTTAATTTAATCGTGATGTTTTCTGAGCTCCGCCATCATTCCCCAAGGGGTCTTCTCTGCCCCTTTTCGGTCCTTGTTTGTGGTTACAGCATCCTGAACATCTGAGCAGCCCCCAGCCCAGCCCACTTCTTCACTCCTCTGTACCCTTTGCAGGAAGCTCCAAGGTCTCTGGTCCCTGGACTTCAAGTGCTTGCTCCCTGGTTCTGTTCCCCAGGTCACCAGGGGTTTAGCCATAATCAATCAAGCCTGGGACCCAAACCCCATGGATCAAGAAGCATCCTTGCTTGGTCATGCTTGTCTGCATCTCTCACTGAGGGAGCACCCCTCAGCAGGCTGTGTGCCCCCCTCCCATCCTCTTCACCCCTTTCTAATGCTCATCGGAGCCCAGTTGAGTTGTTCCTGCATACCTGCCCAAGGGAAATGGAAACATGTCCACACACAGACTGGCACATGAATATTCACAGCATCTGGTCCCACAAATGCCCCAAGTTGTAGGTAATCCATGTGCCCACCACGTGATGCATGGACAGGTACCATGAGGCCCATCTGTACAACCGATCGTGTTCAGGAATAGAAGAATAAACAGCTCATGCTGAATCATAGATGAACCTCAAAATGTTACACTGGGTGAAAGAAAAGACCATGGACCAAATGATTCTATTTAACTGCACACCCAGAAAAGGCAGATCTGGAAGCAGAGAGCAGGTTAGAGGTTGTGGGATGTAAGGGGATGGGAGGTGATGCTTTTGAACTGTGGTGTTGGAGAAGACTCTTGAGAGTCCCTTAGACTGTAGTGAGATACAACCAGTCCATCCTAAAGGAAATCAGTCCTGAATATTCTTTGGAAGGACTGATACTGAACCTCCAAAATTTTGGCCACCTGATGCGAAGAGCCTACTCATTGGAAAAGACCCTGATGCTGGGAAAGATTGAGGGCAGGAGGAGAAGGGGGACGTCAGAGGATGACATGGTTGGATGGTATCATCGACTCAATAGACATGAGTTTGAGCAAACTCTGGGAGATAGTGGAGGACAGGGAAGACTGGCGTGCTTCAGTCTATGGGTTTGGAAAGAGTTAGACATGACTAGGTGACTGAACAGCAACAGCAACTGCTGGGGCCAGAGTTACACCCCAGGAGACCTCCCTACCCTGGGCTCGGGTGACAGAAAGCCCTGCTCAGGTATGTGGGCCCTGCAGCTCACCCGAGACCTCTCCTGGCTTCCTGTCCCCATCCTATGAGCAGGTCTCCACCTCCTCCCCCTCCGCATGAAGCCCAGCTTCTTGAAGCCCAGACGAAACCCCAGCTGCCCCTTCCTGGCATCCAGCCCAGCGCCCACCTGCCTCAGCTTCTGGCAGCATGGTTTTCTCACAGGACTATGTCCCACATGGTCATGTCTGATACAACGGCAGATCAAACCATGTTCCATCTTTCTTTGTATTCCCAGAAGCCCTAAAGCATAAGGAATCCCAAGAAATAAGCAACTGATGGCTTCGGACAAACACCTGGTCGGCACCCCCACCCCAGGTTTGGACCCCAGAGGTCAAATGCACCACCCCCACCTCCTGCCTGGACTTCTGTCCGTCCGTGATGCCCTCGTTGTGGGCTCCCCGGCCCTGAGCACACCCACGGGTGTGACACGGGCTCCATCAGAAGCCACCCCTGCCGATTTTGTTTTGGAGAGCTCCTGCTGAGAGAAGGTCCTCCCCGATCTCAAGCCCGTTTTGCTACTAGTCCATCTGCTGGGCCGCTCCGCCCTTGCGGCCACACAGACCAGCTCACCCCTTCCTCCTGGAGAGGCCTGCCTCACCACGTCCAGCTTTCCTTCAGTGTACACATTCACACAGCTCACCGCCCTGGCCTCGCCTCCCCCGATGAGCGCCAGAGTCCACACCCCTAAACTAAGATGGATCGCAGTGGCCCCATGGCCTGGCGCCCCAGGACGAAGTGGGCTGCCCTGCCCCACCCAGCATCCCAGAGCAAATTCTCCTTCTGGAGGCGCCGCATGGCTGGGCCACTGATCTCCGTCCCCCAACGCTCTCACCGCTTTGCCACCCCGGCTGTTTAGCTACAGCAGTTGTAAACTTGGAACTTGGGGTGTCTCAAAAGTCCAGCTTTTCAGAATTTCCCCCACACCCCTTTCTGCTTCTGCTCTGGGAGTTTATTCCTTTATCCCAGCCTCGTGAGTTCTCGGATTGGTTTTTGAAAAGACTGTGAGAGAGTCTAGATACAGTACGTCCAGGGGATCTTCCTGACCCAGGAATCGAACCACGGTCTCCCGCACTGTAGGCGGATTCTTTACCACCTGAGATATCGGGGAAGCCTGTCCACAACCTTACCCTGATCAAACAACCCTTTTCTAAAAAATCATTAATAGATTGAGGAGCTAACAAGATGATTACTTTTATACTTGTGATCAAAATTCGTATAACTAATGCTAAGTTTAACCTATATATACAGTGTGAAATGGAAGACTATTGTGTCCAAAAATAGCTTTAATTTTACCAAGTATCGGTACAGAGATTATATAGCTATGCCTTTGCCGGGTATCAGTGGACTCAGTTTTCATGATAAACTACATTCCTGTAAGTCACATCAGACAAGGGGCCATGAGCCTGGGCTTCTGAATTCAGGTTCTAAAATATGATGGACATCATTGGTGGGAGAGAAAAGAGAAAGAGAAATAAAAAGTGGTTTTTGGAAGAAGGAAGAAAGAAAGAAAGAAAAGAAGGAGGGATGGAGGGAGGAAGAGAGAAGGAAAGAAAGAAAAGAAACAAGAAAGGAGGCAGGAAGAAGGAACGCAGAGCTCTCCAAGCCCAAGAAGCACACACAGGACTCCAGGGCTCAGGACACGCTTGGCCGTGGCTTCCTCACCCCTCTGTGTCGCCTGCACGCGCGGCCCCTCTGCCGTGGACACAGGGGTCCTCACCTGGGGGCCACCTGCACAACTGCAGGACTTCGAGAGCCTCTTCCTCATTCTGCTTTGCAGAATTTCACTCCTAGTTGTTGACTTTCTCCCCTGAGAGAGACATTCCACTCAGCACTCTGGAAGGAATGGTGCCTCTGACCTCAGCCTTGGAGGGGACGCCCTGGGTGGCCGAGGAAGAGGCCAGTGTCCCTAAGTCAGGCTGAAGACAGAAAAAAAAAAGAAGGAAAGCTCAGCTCAGGAATGTGGGTGCTTTTCAGCAATAACTTGCAGAAATATAGATTGTGCATTACAGGTAAACCTCATGCAATTGATGTTACTAGCCCAGGTGATCTAAAGATACTGTCCCTCGCCTGGAACACCTGAGGCCAGCACGTCCCAGCAGAAGAGCCAGGCCTGGGAGCCGCGGCTCCTGACTGGTGCAGTCAGCCAGCATCCTCGACAGCACTGGGAATAAGGGGTCCTGTCCCTTCTATGCAGAACTCACATCAGGGCCGTGAGACAAACTAAACACCATGTTTGATGTATGTTTAGGCATGAAGGTCGCACAGAACTCATAAGGGATGCAGAGAAAAACCAGATTTGAGACTCGGGTAACTTTCATCCCAGACCCAGCCCAACGAAGGTGATTGAAAAAAATGTTTCTTCCAGTTTTTTCTAAACAGACTCAATACCGTGAGTCCAAGGGGCTGGGTGCTCCAGGTGAGGTGGGCAGACAGGCTTGTCAGACTGCCCCTCGTCTGTTTGGTCCTCTGCTTTCTTACGATGAGATGAGCCTCCTTCCTGGCCCGACTGTCGCTGGGGACAAGTCTGGGTCACCAGCCAAGGGCCAAGGTATAGAACCTGTGACATCAGTCCTGCTTTGAGTGAGGTCCCCCAGAACCAGTGATAGCATCCTCTGAAAAGGGAAGTGAAAGTGAAGTCACTCAGTCGTGTCTGACTCTTTGCGACCACACGGACTGTAGCCCACCAGGCTCCTCGGTCCATGGGATTCTCCAGGCAGGAATACTGGAGTGGGTTGCCATTTCCTTCTCCAGGAGATCTTCCTGACCCAGGGATCGAACCCGGGCCTCCCACATTGTAGGCAGACACTTTACCATCTGAGCTACTTTTGGCCCCAGAAAAGGAAAGAGGAAAATGAAAACCAGAAGCCAGAATTTCTTCTTGAGAAACTAGCACAAAAAGGGAGGGAAATGGATTAAAATGCACAAAGAGAAACTAAAATTAAGTCTTTTGGAGTTTTCACGAAAAAATAAAGGTGATTGTCAAAAGTGACAATTTTCTTTGTTTTTTAGGCCGCACTGTGCAGAATACAGGGTCTCAGTTCTCCAAACAGGGACTGAACCTGTTGCCCCCTGCATTAGGAGGGCAGTGTCTTAACCACTGGACCCCCAGGGAGGTCCCCAAAGTAACACTTTTTCGGATGAGTTTCTTACATGACACCTGATCCTTGGGCAAGAATTCTGTGGGCAAGTGGCTTGCTGTGTCCCCCGCTTCCCCCATCCCCGAGTCCCTGTCTTCTGCCCCATCCCCTTGAGCTCCTAGCACTAAAGCAGGTCAGTCTCTCTCCCTATCTCTCCAATTTGAAATCAGCCACAGGACTGGCTTTGACGAATGCAGTGGTCCTCAACGTGTGGCCTGTGGGTCCAGGAGGCCCCTTTAGGGAGTCAAAGATGTAAAAGCCTTTTCTGATAAATCTCAGATGCTTCACACCTGTGTCACTGTCTTGACTGTTTGACATTGTGTGACTGGCTTCCAAGCAGGTCTCCCGGGTCAGAATATCAAAGAAAGTCAGGGCCCAGACGGACCCAGGGGTGGAGGGTCAGCCTCTTGCCATCTATGCCTGCACAGTTTGAAACCTGCTCCCCAGCCCTGCGCCCCACTACGGGCCGGGGGCCTTGATGAAAGCCCGGCCACTCCACGGGCTCACCTTTCAGACAGGTGTCCCTGGAGCCCAGCCCTCACTGGCACAGCCCAGCCGGTCCATCACGGCCACCCGCCCCACCTCCAACACCCCAGCCCGTGGACGAGAGGCAGGGAAGATGGAGGAGACTTTCAGCTGTCTCTCCTCAGTGTTTGTTAGCAACGGGAAACCATTCCGAGACAGGACGCCCAGGGCAGCATGCCGCCCGTGTGCACCCTGCTCCCGACAGATGCCCGCCCACCCGCCAGGCCGCAGGGGCTGCTCTGCCCCCGGGTAGCAGGCAGCACAGATGGGAAGGCCTGCGCAGCTTCCCTTCCCACCTGATGCTTCAACGAAGGAGCCATTCTCGTGTTAAAAACCCACCTGTGAGCTCTCCCACCCCCGCCCAGGTGGAGGGACCCTCAGCAGAGAAGAGAGCCATCACCTCACCTGGGAGGGAATCACTGGTGCGGGGTGGGGGGGGGATGGGTGCATGGGAGGAAATCACGGGGCTGGGGGCAGACGGGAAAGGGGCCCCCCAAGGAAGCGCCCAGCGACTGGGTCCACGGGGCTTCCCCAGGACAGGCTCTGGGAGCAAGAGCAGCGTGTAAGCAGATGGCCAGCAGGCTAAGGAAGCCTATACCTGCCTGTAGGTATTCACTGCAGAAGCTGAGGTTTAAGAAAGAGCAGCTCTTAAATCTAACTTAGACACTGCCCATCTAAATCACCCAGGACCCAGATGATTTATAAATATGTATCTCAGAGGAGGTACACGTATGTCCATGTGATAGAAACGGGGTCCGGAGGCATTTTCAATGATTTTTCAGAGCCGTGATGTGCATACAAGTGCCCGGATCCGTCCACACTTATGAACACCTCGGCTGACCGCGCCCAGCTAGCCCCCTATCGCTTGGCTGCCTTTGTTCACTACCGCGTCCACCTGTCCTGGGAGACAAAGAGGGTCCCAAACAGACCCGGGGCTCAGGCAGGCCCGGGTCCCCAGGGCACTGAGTCAGTCTGTGTGGAGGGGACGACTCCACAGGGGCTTCTGCCAGGAGTGGCGGGCCAGGGGGGCAGTGAGAGAGGCCGACCCGCCGTCCTCTGGAGCCCCGGCCTCCGGGGAGGCAGAGTGCAGGGAGGGTCAGCAGTGGCACAGCCCTTCTCCGTGAGACCCCACTGAGACACAAGTGTGTGCACACCTGTGTAAGCGCACGTGTGTGAGCTCAGAGAGCCGCCAGCTCCTGCCTGGAGCCCTCCCCGCCGGCTGTGCTGTGTGATGGCCTGACAGAGGCCTCGACACCTCTGGGGTGTGGGCACCTCAGACACCAGGGGGGCATCCAAACGTGAACCGAGGCAGGAGCCCCGCCCTGCTGGGCCGGCGGGAGGCTCCTGGGTCATCTGCGCTCTGGAGTTCGGGGCCTGGCCTGGACCCCGGGCGCTCCTCCAGCCTCCATCCCATGCCTCCCGGAGCCCATCCCGGCCTGACCCTTCCAGAGCCAGCCTGCATGAGGCCGCCCCAGAACAGGCCTCCCTGCGGCTGAGCATCCCAGGAGGTGGGCGCCCACCAGGTGGAGCCTGCCCGGGATTCTGGAGCCCCCGGGTGCCCAAGCCATCTCCCCACCCTCCCCAGCGCCTCCCTCTCGCCCCGCCAGGGTCACCCCTCACCCTCATCCTGCCACGTGGCTGAGTGGCCAGAGGGGTCCCCAGAAGGCATGTGCTTCCCATAGAAGGAGGGCGGGGCCGCCTCCCACTGTCTCCCGCTGGTCCCCGGCTCCAGCCCTGACTCAGCCTCAGTCTTCTTGTCTGTAAAGTGGGCGATAGGGAGGTGGGCCTGGGGACGGACGCCCGAGTGCGCACAAACCAGCTAGGAGAGCACCTCCAGGACAGATGCTGTCATCAGGCCTCTTAGGACGAGGATGGCAGGCACCGGATGGGCTGTGCAGGCAGTGGCGGCGGGACGGGGGGTGAGAGCGGTGGGGGACAGTGCAAGCTGAGCTGCTGGGGGGTGGGACCCCAGGGAGGAGCCCCAGGGTGGGGGAGCCCCGGAAGGAGACACCACGCAGGCTGGGAGCCCCGTGGTCACAGTGAGGGTGTTGGATGACCCGCTGGGGTCACAGTGAGGACCCTGGGTGACCCCCGGGACCACAGTGAGGGCTCTGGGTGACCTGGGAGAGGCTGCCGGCGCCTCCGGGATCCTGGGCAGGTGTATGAAATTCTCTGAGCCCTGGCCTCCCCGAGCAGGCCTGGCCATCACAGCTCTGCTTGGCAGCTGCCTAGGAAACAATGAGGCCTCGTTGGTCCCTCCAAGCTCGGCTGGCAGGACAGTCTCTTCCTATCCAGGTCCAGACCCCAGCGGACCCCCAGGAGGCAAAGCCAAGCTGTCATCTGAGAGGGACTGGTGGCTGGCAGGACCCTGCATCCTCAAATCACTCTCCACCTTTAAAATCCCAGCAGTACAGCCTTACTCCTTTGGACCCACCTGAACATCCTGCTAACTTAGTCCACCCCCACCCCCCGCCAGGCACCTGGCCTCCCTCCGGCCCCAGCCCCTGACCCGAGCTGGACGCACCACCCGCCTGTGGTCCAGCCAGGAGCCCTATTCCCGCACCTGCCCCCGCTCTGTCCTGATCAGCCCACCTCACCTAGCTGAGCCCAGGGTGTCCTCTCCCATCTGAGATCCCTGCGGCCTTTTCCTATGGGGCCAGCCCACGCAAAACTGACATTTGTGTTAGTCCCCAGTGGTGGGCTTGTGGTGAAAAAGCATGAAAGCGGAGAAGGACTGTATGGATTTCCTGCTCAAACCTTCCGGAGCCCCCAGCTCCAGGCCACCAGCAGGCAGAGGGCCGGGCTCCAGCCGAACGGGGTCCGCCCTGCAGGCAACGCAAGCTACCAGCGCCTCCAGGCCAGGGATCTTGGGTGAGGCTGTGTGTCCGCCTTCCTGCACGTCCACACTGCCTCTCTCCTCCCTATCATCCTGGAGACTCAGAAAGCCTTTCTCAACCAAGCCTTGTCCACGTGAAGAGGCACCCCGCTCCTGAAAGTGCCCCAGGAAAAAACACCACACTCACCACCTGGACTTCTGTTTATCTTTCTGTTCCCACGGCTCTTCTAGTCCTAAAAGTCACAGGTCAGGGCCAAGACTTTCACGTCCCTCCACCTCTAGCCTAGCAGCCCTCGGTTAATATTGACTGAATGAATCAGGGGGCATGTTAGCAGTAGCTCCTTCACACTAGAGTGTAAATGACTGATAGTCATCTTTTCCTGAGAACCACTCCTGGTCCAGGGAGAGGAGGGGGAAACCCCAGCGTTCGTGCCAGTGGAGAGCAGGGACAGCCCTGCCCAGAGAGGCTGCTCCATGGGGGGATCGTGCCCAGCACTGTGCAAAGTGGGGGGAAGCAGGGCGGCCTGAGAAACCAGACTGTCTGAGCTCAGAAGCCCAGACATGACGGGAAGGTTCCAGCTGCTGCTGGGCTGGACCCCAGGCCCAGGGCACCTGGTGGACACGGGCAGCTCATGCAGACTAATTCACGAACAGCTGTGAACAGACGTGAGCATCGTCTCCAACCACTCTGACAGCTGTGAGCATGGAAGGGCAGCTCAGAGGCCCAGGCCGAGCCGCTCTCCCCGGAAAGACGGGTCCACCTGCCAGGTGGAGCTACTGCTACCTGTAGTCTCTCCTGTCCCGACCCTCCCGAGGAGACCGACGGGAAGGAACCAGCCTGTCCGCCAACCGGGGCTCTGGGACCCCCGTGGGTTGTTTCCTTGCATCCACTCCCATCCGGCTGGACCCCCATTCGGGCTCAGTTCCTTCCGTGCCCCAGGGCTCCCAGCACGAGGCCCTCCTAGTCCCTTCCCTCCATCCTTGTCATCTTCTCTTCGGCCAGCCAAGCTCCAGCTCCCGCCGCCCCCCAACATCCTTGCAGGCCCCCTGCCCTGAGGCCTCCCTGCAAGTCAGAGCGCTCGTGGGAGCCGTGTGTCCAGAGTCTGGAGAACTGCACGAAGACTGGGGTGAGAGCTCTGTTCCTGGAGGCTGGGCAGTCCCTCTGTGAGCTGGCATCCCATCATCGCGTGATGCCAGAAAGACAGGCGGGCAGGACTTCCCTGGGGGTCCAGTGGTTAAGAGTCCACCTCCCAATGCAGGGGACACAGGTTCATCCCTGGTCTGGGAAGATTCCATGTGCCTCGGGGCGACGAAGCCCACATGCCACAGCTACTGAGCCCGCGCGCCCAGAGCCTGCGCTCCACAGAAAGAGAAGCCACAGCAGTGAGGAGTCCACGCGCTGCTGCTGGAGAAAGCCCGCCCCGCCACAACTAGAGAAAGCCCGCCTCGCCGCTGCCGGAGAAAGCCTTAGCACAAAGACCCAGCGTGGCCAAAAATCAATAGATACGGTTTTAAAAAGCCAGACGGATACAAGTGACTCTTCCTTGAAATGGACGGTCAGATGTGGCGAGACCAGCTGCAAAACACGGCCATCACTTGGTAAAATCATCCCTCACCTCTCTTCTCGTAATAAAGTTCATCAGAATTCACTGCGTTGCTTAGAACTATTTCTGATGAACCAGAATTCTGATGGATCTGGATGCTTCATAGTATTCTTAAGTTGGTCAAAATCAGTCAAGGCCAGTGAAACTTCAGATGAGGAGAAGGAGAGAAAGATGCTATGGAAAATGTGAATTCATTTAATGAAAACAGGTGACCAAAATGGGGGAAGCCACAGCAAGTGGAATGTATTGTTCTCAAAGCCAGCTTGGAAAAGGATTCTAACACAGGCACGCACGGGCACACACAGAGGCATCCATGGACACACAACATGGACACGCAGGGACAGTCTCTTCACACCGCCCGTTGGTGACTCTCCTCTGACATGAAAACACTCCTTTGAACATTTTACCTCCTCCCCAATTACAGGGAAATAAGTCCCCAGAAATTAAATTCACACGGTAGATAAATGAACCTCTGCCAATGATCTTATTTATTTAACAAGGCAGGGTCTCTGTTCATGAAACGGTCGTGCGTGGAGGAGCCGTGAAGGTTTGTGTGGCTTTCTTGGGGGGACAGGAGGAATGAGCCTGTCCCTGGGTTATCACAGGGACCCCCTCCATCTGGTGACGCCCAGAGGAGGCTGAAGCGGGAGGAAGACACATGCTGTGTGGGGCGGGGCTGCGGGGGGTGAAAAGAGGGGCCACGGGTGACACAGTGGACCCGCCACCGTCAGCACAGTCCTCCCATGGGGATAGTCTCACCCCGCCCAAGATCACGGGGTCCCCAAGCCCGTTGTCAAGGGGACCTCCCTGAGGCTGCTGGGGCTGGTGGCCAGCTCTGGGCCCGGTGGCCAGCTCTGGGCCCAGGATGCAGAGGCCGTGGTGGGAGTCAGGCCTTGACCCTCATCCCTGCCCCCCAGGCCAGCGTCACGGGCGCCAGCTGAGCGTCGCTGGGCCCCGGAGCCCCACACCCCAACAGTAGGAGGGTGTCTGCGGTGATCTCAAGGTCCAGTCCAACTGCTTCAACCATGATACCGGTGTTGACACCCCACGGGTGGCCATGGCTCAGTGGCTCTTAACTGCCTGGCTCGAGTCCAGGGGGGGGTTGTTTGTGTTCAGAAAGTCACCGTGATTCCCCTTTAGAGTCATCACTTGTACTGGAAGAGAGCGGGCCACGGAGTGAAGCCCCAGCTTGGCCCTAAGCAACCTGGGGCTGCCCTGCTCCCAGCCTGGGCCCACGCTGCCCCGCGCTGGCTGTCATCACCCCACCCCTCTCTGCCCCGGGCCTTGGTGACCACACGTGTCGCACTGTCCGCCCTGAGTCTCTCCTCTCAGAGGCCGTCAGCCAGGCCTGGGGTCGGGGTGCTCACCTCTGACCGCCAGGGTGGGGCCTCGCCCCTCGGGCGCACGTGTGCGGAGCCGCTGCACTGCCCGCGGGAGGCCGGGCCCATGTGGACGCGGCAGACACGTGGGGGCCGCCCGCCGGGCCGGGCCGCAGTGCAGGCTGTCCAGGGTCACTCCGGGCACCGTCTGCCCAGGGAGCCAGCCCGCCTGACCCCCTCTCTCACACCCTCTCCCTCCTGGAACACGTGAACCACGTCCAGGAAGGTCTGGATCCCGTTTGTAAACCCTCCATGTGGCCTCTCCCACTCCGCGTGCCAGGCCCCCATCCCCGTGGTTGCCAAGGGCACCAGGCCTCCCACCCAGGGCCTGAGCAGCAGGGAGGCCCAGCCATGCTCCCCCCAAGACTACCCCCGAGGGGGGTATAACATGCCCCCCTCCCAGCTCCTGGGGCGCCCCCAGCTCACGACCTCCCCAGTTCTGCCCCGAGTCACATGGTCTCTCCTCTCCCTATGGGGCTTCACCCCAACTTGATGACATCGGCAAACACCCCGTTTCCTCATGAGCCCACATTCACAGGTTCCGGGGTTAAGGGGTCAACACAGCTTTGGAGGGATGCAACTTAACCCATGACCCCAAGGCATGACTCCAGGGCACCTGGGTCCCTGCCCACGGCCCTGTCACGGGAACAGTGACTCTGGAGAGGAATAAGAGGGCCCCCTGCCTGCTCTAGGAAGGAGGAAGCAGAGGCGACAGCAGCTTGTCGGGGGGCTCGGGTCCTCGTCTGTCCGCCATGTTGTGCCCCTTAATCGATGGGGGGATGAGATGCAAATGAGGTGACTCTGGAAGAAGCAGCATGAGACGGGGCCACTGGCCTGGGAGGGACTGTCGGAGGGGCCGGCGGGTGTCCTAGCAGCTCTGACAGAGGAGGACGTGGCCGAGAGCGGGAGAGGCTGTGGCTGCCACCCCCACGGGGCTCCCTTCCCAAAGGCCCAACACCCCCCAGACGGGCTTCCAGCATGTTCCACAGCCCAGAGGCTGGTCTCACTGAAAGGACTGACATCCTGAGCTTTGCGTGAACAACTGACCCGTAAAACCACTTCCTTCGGCGAAGTGGTGACACCCCGGCCTGACAGTCCCCGGAGCCCAGAGGCCACGCACCCGTGCAGAGCGGGGAGCCGAGGCCCCACGCGGACTTGCGGGGGGTGGCAGGCCCCTCCCGGCACCAGGCCCAGGCCCTGTTCGCCTGAGCAGCGGGAGGAGGCAGAAGAAATGGGTGAGGAGTCTGGCCTCTTTGCTGGACATGGGACCGCGTTGTGCACGTCCAGTTACATGGCCACGTCCTGAAGTAGAAGGAGCTCTGCTCTCAAATCAGTAACTCCTGTGACTTAGGACCCTCGTCAGGCCAGTCAGACACGCTGGATGGAAGATCACCGGAGCACCAGGCACCTTCGGAACAGCCAGCAAGAAGCAGCCAGCAAGATGCGGACCCTTCGGCCGGCAGACCCTGGGCTGCACCCAAGGAAAAAGGCTGGAGGCTGCTGCACATGGTGGCTCAGCCCAGGGCCAAATAGGAGTCCAGCGTCTTCCCCGAACCACGGGCCACCCCGACAGCCTGAGCAGCCGGCCGTTGAGTCCATGAGGGGCCCTGACCGCTGCGGAGCCTGCACCCAGGGCTCCCTGCCTCCAGGCTCGTGGCAGGGGACGGGCAGGGGGTAGTCCCTCCACGCGGTGTCCCTTGAGCTGTGAACGTCACATACCCACATCACTAACAGCCACACAGCTGGGCTCCAACTTCCTAGGAGAGAAGGGCCCAAGGCGGGACCCAAGGGCCCTCCTGCATCAGTGTCACCGGGGGGTTCTCGTTAAACACTACAACTGTCCCCAACACCATCACACCAGACGCACCACACCACAGCTCCTGGTGGGGCTTGAGAATCTGCATTTTATGAAGTCCCCCTGGAGAAGGGAATGGCAACCCACTCCAGGATCTTTGCCTGGAGAATCCCACGGACAGAGGAACCTGGTGGGCTATAGTCCATGGGGCCACAAAGAGTCGACCAGCAGGCCTGTGCCACCCTGAGGGGGCCCCGCCCTGGCCCCGCCCCTCCACCTGCTCCATCCCCACTGGAGCAGCAACGGGGGGCTCAGGAATGGTGAAAGAGCCCTGCCACCCAGGCATGTGGGGTCTGTGGTCCGCAGGAGCACCAGGGTTAGGTCTTGGGCCCTCGTCTAGCCGGAGGCCTCGGACCACGCACATGGAGTCTTCGATACACAGCTGCATGGACGGGGAGGAGGCAAATGCGTGCCAGGTTCCGAGGGCTGGAACACCGCACCAGAGGCAAATATTTATTCCAGGAATGCTTGTCATTGGCCTACTGCATGGATAAGATTGGCATGCTGCGCTGCAGATAAACGGAGTCCTGTGTCACCTGCCGCCCTGGGTCCCAGCCACCCCAGGCCGCAGGCAGAGCCCCGGCCGCCCCCTCCCCTGGCCTCCCAGTTGGAGGCCCCTCATGCAGTGATCAACAACTGCTCCAGCTCCCCCAGCAGCTGACCCCTGAGAAAGATCAGAGGGAAAACGCAAGCAAAGAGCCAGGAACTGAGTGCAGCCCTGGGTGGGCGGAGGGGGCAGGACTCAACCTGGAGCCTCGGTGGGCATCCAGCTGACCCTCTGGCCAGCCACTCTCCTCCCAGCTCTGACTGCTTTATTTTTTTAAAGTTCTGCTTTAATATTTTAACTAGCTAGAAGTCTTCAAAAGACACGTTTGTTGATAGTGGTACATTGTGTAATGGAATACCAGGGAATAACCAGAACCTGTCATTTCACAAGAAATCTGAACAGGGTTGGGGGCTGCAGAACAATGTACACTGCAGACTTTGTTACTGATGCTGAAGATTTGTTTGTTTGTACAGTGAGTCCCCTACAGACGAGTGAGTTCCATTCTGAGGGCGGGGTACCCCTTTGACCACGGCCCACGCGGGCTGTCCATCAAAACATAAGGGGAAAAAGCAAAATAAGGGAAGAACAAGCAGATTCTGGGCTGAGGCACCATTTCTGCCAAGTTCCCCATTTCTACAAAGCCCAGGCTCAAAGAGGAATACACGTGAGCTCACTTCTCCCATCACTTCCTTTCTAACATGTGTGTAGTTCATGGGCAGTTAGCATGCAGTCATCTCAGTTCTAACATGTGTGTAGTTTGCAGGCAATTAGCATGCAGTCACTTCCATTCTAACATGTGTGTAGTTCACGGGCAGTTAGCATGCAGTCATCTCAGTTCTAACATGGGTGTAGTTTATGGGCGGTTAGCAAGCAGTCACTTCAGTTCCAACATGTATGTAGTTCACAGGCGGTTAGCATGCAGTCTTCCAGCAAGGCCACGAGAGAAGCCCCTAGGGACAGGAAGGGGGGAGGGGAGGGCTCTAAATCAAGGAGGACCACGCCTGGTAACCACCCAGTGGCTCAGGAGCCAGAGAGTGCCCGCAGGACGACGCCCGCGTGCTGGTGGCCACCGAGGGCCCGAGGGGCGGGGCGGCAGGCGGCAGGGCTGCGGGCCGCAAGGAGGGGCTGCAGCCTGCCCCGCGGGGAGCCGCTCTGAGACACCAGCTGAACAGAGAGGTGTGTTTGGGCTTAAGCTCAGAAAGCCGCATCCAAGATCCGAGCACCCTTAGCATGAAAACAACACTAAAGTGGTAACCGCAAGACTCAGTCCCCGGGGCCGGCTGGACAATAACCCATGCCGGCCCCCTCCCTCCCTGTGTCTACAGCTCCGTGTCCAGAGCCGGGCATGGAGGGGCGGGGATGTGGAGGAGGGCGAGGCTTGTGTTGGCCCCTTTGACCCCAATGTTCTGCCTTCCCGTGAGTCACTCCAGCCCCGGTGGCTTGTCACTGGGCCTCCCAGGGAAGCTGGAGAACAATCAGAGGCGAAGGGGAGAGACCAGGGCATGGGGTTCCGGGCCTGGTGGGGGAGGCCCTGTGACACCCGCGAAGGGTGACTCAGGCAGTACTTTTCCGACACGGGGGCCGGAAGTGTCCCCGAGCACGCAGGGCCTGTATCAGGCAGCGTTTGCGCGGTGTGACAGGGTTCAGTTCTTGCCCCCGCACTGAAAACAAGTGAAATTCCTGGCCCGCTGCTGTCAGCTATGCCCTGGATTCCAGGTCAAGTCCAGTCCTGCCCGCGGAGCAGAGTCAGGGCTCACTGGTTCACTTGCTTTGAGTCACCACCAGCACCCTCCGAGAGGTCGTGATTCACGGCCGTGTTATTTAGGGAAAGAGTCGCAAAGCCACCAAAACGCGCCTTCCTCTGAGCCACCTCCAGCCCCAACTCGGCCCTCTCAGAGCCTTTGTTTTGCGGTAGGGATGCAGCCCTCGGTTCCCTGGGCTGGGCAAAGGGGAGCCTTGGATAACCAGAACCCTGCCACGGTCAGTTTGTCAGACTCAGAGGCAACTCACTGCCATTTCTGGATGCCCCGGGCCCCTCACAGAGCCAGTTCCAGCTCTGAGCCCTGGCAGGACCACAGAATGGATTTTCAGCTTCCCCCGCAAGGCCTGGTCAGATCCCCCGGCCCCTGAGTCAGGGTGGACACCTCCGCAGCAAACGCCCCGTCCTTAACCCTGAGCAAACCCACGCTCCCCCGCCTCCCCACAACAAAGGCTTTATTATTACTGTCTCCTGACAACCAGGAGCCTTCAAGCTCTTCCTGATCCTTCTGAAGTCAGGCGGCCACCAACCTCCGACAGAAATGACATTTGAACGCACGAATTTGGGGGAAAACCAAAAAGAAAGGATCCTGAAGAACTGCTCTTGTCTGCTTGTGGGACCAGATGAACAGAAAGTCTTTCTAACCATGTGGCGATCAAACCAAATAAAACTGAAATGTTCATGTAATAGGTCTTCTGTTTAATTCTGAGAAGCCTTTTCTTGAGCCCATCATTTTAAACCCAAATGGGGCAGAACCTGGTTCCGTACATTAAATACCATGATGACTTGTATTGATCCCTGGGTCAGGAAGATCCCCTGGAGAAGGGCATGGCAACCCACTCCAGTATTCTTGTCTGGAGACTCCCATGGACAGAGGAGCCTGGCGGGCTACAGTCCATAGGGTCGCAAAGCTGAGCTGAAGCTAAAGTCAGTCAGTCATGTCCAACTCTTTGCGACTCCATGGACTGTAACCCCCAGGCTCCTTGGTCCATGGGATTTTCCAGGCATGAATACTGGAGTGGGTTGCCATTGCCTTCTCCAGGGGATCTTCCCGACCCAGGGATTGAACCTGGGTCTCCCGCATTGCAGGCGGATTCTTTACCGTCTGAGCCAGCAGGGAAGTCCTAGGGTCGCAGAGTCGGGCACGAATGAAGTGACTTAGCACACATTAGCTCTTAAAATCCAAAATACTGCAGTAGTGTCATCTTACATCAAAAGGTCAATTTCTTCCTAGAAATAAAGAAAAAAAAGAATAGATTCAACATATAAATGCAAAACATCTGTAAAATAAAACATTCAAAAATTAAATGAGTCTTGACTAAATGCTTCCAACCCATATAATAAAGGAAGGTGAATATTCACTAAACAAAAAAAGTATGGAAATAGCCACTAAGATGAAGACAGAAAATTAGAGCAAGAAACAAAATCGACCCAAAAAAGGGAAATAAGCGTGGCTAATAAAAGTTAGCTTCATTAGTTTAAAAGAAACACAGATAAGACAGCAAGGCAGCATTTGCTTGACTTAGTCAGCGCCTGTGCCCACCGCACTAAGGGCTTTCAGGAACAAAGTTCCCATAATAATTTAATTATTATCTGCAAATAATTTGATGATATTCACCAAAGACCTTTAAAAATTTTTATGTACACCAAAGAATCAATGCTTTTGGACTAAGGTGTTGCAGAAGACTCTTGAAAGTCCCTTGGACTGCAAGGAGATCCAACAAATCCATCCTAAAGGAAATCAGTCCTGAATTTTCATGGGAAGGACTGATGCTGAAGCTGAAGCTCCAATACTTTGGCCACCTGATGCGAAGAACTGACTCATTGGAAAAGAACCTGATGCTGGGAAAGATTGAAGGCGGGAGGAGAAGGGGACAACAGAGGATGAGATGGTTGGATGGCATCACCGACTCAATGGACATGAGTCTGAGCAAATTCTGAGAGTTGGTGATGGACAGGGACGCTTGGCATGCTGCAGTTCATGGGGTCACAAAGAGTCGGACACAACTGAGGGACTGGATTGAACTAAACGGATGTACTTTGG